TTTGTTGCATACCTATCTAATATAGTGCTTGGCTGAGTTGGATCATACTGCTTTTGTCTTTAAGAAGTCACACTATGGGGAGGGGAGGATAAAGGAGAATTATGGAGAGGGCAAATTCAACTATGATGTATTATAAGAACTTTTGTAAATATTACAGTGTATCTATCCCCTATACAACAATAATATGATAATAATATAAAAATCAATCCGCACAAAAATAAATAAAAAAGAAGCCATATTACAAAAAAAAGAAAGAATGAATGAATTCACACTATAGTTTGAGGAAAAGCCATCTTACATCATCTCTGGAGTAAGACTGGCAATAAATTTTTTTAAATGAATCAATATGTAATAAATATCCTATCAGTTTTATAACCAAAATGCTATAGTAGTTTAGAGAGACATCACATATCCCTGGGGTAATTAATCTATTCAAGAAACATTTGTGGAATATTTTTATGACTATAACAAATAGCATATGAAAATGCTTCTGTTAAATTGATAAGTAGATACCGTAATATAGTTACAAGTACAGTGTTATATACAATGTAGGTCTTTTCCATTTTTTATCCAAGTGCCAGGACTCACACCTGTAGTCCTAGCTACTTGGGAGGCTGGGATGGGTGAATCGCAGTTTGAGGTCATCCTGGCCAAACAGTTTGTGAGACCCCATCTCAACCAATAGCTGGGTGTAGTGGCATGTGTCTATCATCTCAAGCTACACGGGAGGCTGAGATCAGGAGGATCCAGTTCCAGGGAAAAATAGGCAAAGCTGGCTTGGGCAAAAAGTGAGACCCTATCTCCAAAACAACCAGACCAAAAAGGACCGGAAGCATGGCTCAAACTAGTTTTCTCATCTCCTTGCCTAAAAAAGGAGAAAAAGGAAAAAAAAAAAAAAAAGAAAAGAGAGAAAACCACCCAAATGGTAAGAAGTATTAGGTCAATTTTGGGAGATTAGGAGGAAGGAAAAGTGTGTGTGTGTGTGTGTGTGTGTGTTACCTTTTTTAAGAGACAGAATCCTGCCCTGGCTCTGAATTTCTGGGCTCAAATAATCCTCTTGCCTCAGCCTCCCAAGTAGAAAAATATATTTGCCGGGCACTGGTCGCTCTTGCCTATAATCCTAGCTATTTAGGAGGCAGAGATCAGGTGATTCAAAGCCAGCCTAGGCAAACAGTTTGAGAGGCCCTATCTCGAAAAACCCATCACCTCGCTGGTTAAATGACTCGAGGTATAGGCCCTGAGTTCAAGCCCCAGTACCACAAAAAACAAAACAAAAAAATAAGTAATATAGTCACATAGTTTCAAAATTAAGCAAGCAAAACACTGTTCTAAATACTGTTGGGTGATGGAGACAGCAGTGAAATAGAAATGACAATAGGACAGATAATAACTACCAGCCTTAATTGTATGCAATGGTTTACTATCTATAATAACCCTCTACTGTTCTCCCCCAAGAGACTATTATTACTTATGCAATGTGCCAAAATAGTTTATGCCTGAGAAGCAGATATATAGCTCGATTGTAGATCAATTGTTTCTCTCTTTCTAACAAATGGTACCTTTTTACAAATGGTGTTCTGTACCCTTCTTTATTCACTTAACAATATATTGGAAAGCTTTCTTTCTCTTCAATAATATATTGTAGTGTTCACTTACTCTTTGTAATTGCTTCGTAATAATATTCCACTTAAGGGACAACCATAATTTATTTAAATGGTTCCTGTTCCATTCCTTTGCTATTAAAACAGTGCTGTATGAATAACTTTATACTTATGTACTTGTACACAATATCTGTTGGAGAGAATTGCTGGGTCAGTGCATTTGCTTTTTTTTTTTTTTTTTTTTTTTTGTGGTGCTGGGGATTAAACCCAGGGCTTTACACATGCTATGCGTCACTGTACTGCTGGTCTATATCCCCATGTTCCAGACATTATGCTGATTTTATAAGTATTTTATAATTTTACATGTATTTTCTCATTGAATCCTAATCCTAAGAACTATAGAGACTCTATTGCATTCTGTCTTAAATTGAGAAAAATCAGTTTCAGCCATGTTAAGTAATTTGTCACTTATCTCCTTCTTACGGTTGTATGGAGGTTAACAAATATAGTGTCTACAACAGTGCTTTGTATGTATTAAATACTCAATAAATACTAGTTGCTATTATTATTACTGAAACACAGAAAAAAATACCATGCTAGGGCCTATCTTAGTCATAGTAGAAAAATAGAGTGCTTTTTTCTGGGAAAGACCGGTATTCCAGGTAGAAGAAACAGTGGTAAAGGGATTGGTTGCCTAATTTTGCTACTGCATAGGGTTCTCAGGGGTAAAATGAAAGAACAATTTGAGAGATGAAAGAAAGCTTCATATTGGGGGGAAAGCTTATAAGCAATCTTAAAGGGATGGCTCTTTGTCATTTTAGTAGGTAGAGGGATTGGGGAATATTTCAAGCAAAAGCGTCACTATTTTTAAGTGGTCGGCATTTAGAAAGACAGTGGAGACAATGAGATACCACTATCAGAATGGCCAAAATCCAGAACACTGACAGCAGCAAGTGAAACAACAGGAATTCTCATTCATTGCTGGTAGGAATGCAAAATAGTACAGTCACTGTGGAAGACAGTTTAGCAATTTCTTACAAAATCAAGTCTACTCTTAACTATACTATTCAGCAATCATTTACCTTGGTGTTTACCTAAAGAAGGTGAAAGTTAGGTCCACACAAAACCTACACACAGATGTTTATAGAAGTTTTATTCATAATTGTCATAAATTGTAAGTGTTCAAGTTATCCTTCATCTGGTGAATGGGTAAACAGACAGTGATACATTCAGACAGTGGAATGGTTTTCAGCAGTGAAAAGAAATCAGCTATCAACGCATGAAAAGACTTGGAGAAAATTTAAATGAATATTATGAAGTAAAAAAAGCCAATCTGAAAGGATGCATACTGTGTGATTCCAAGTATATGACATTCTGGTGTCATGGGGCTGATGGAGTGGCTCAAGTGGTAGAGCACCTGCCTAGCAAGCACAAGGCTGTGAGTTCACACCTTAGCACCACATAAAAGCTAGTAGACATTATGGAAAAGGCATTGTAAAGGCAGTGAAAAGATCATGGTTATCAGAAGGTAGATGGGTAAGAAGGATAAAGAAGAATAAAGAAGATTTGTTGGCAGTTAAAACTACTGTGTTGTACTCAAATCGTGAATGCATGTCATTGTACATTTGTCCAAATTCATATAATGTACATTAAGAGTGAACCCTAAAGTAAACTATGGACTTTGGGTGATGGTAATGTATCAGTTAGGTTTCATTAATGGGAAAGGCTGGAGATATTTGGGTAATCTCTGTACTTTCCACTCAATTTTGCTGTGAACCTAAAACTACCCTTAAAAAAGTCTAACAAAACATTTCAGGCATAGAGAGTTACTATAGTTATCTACTGCTGTACAACAAACTATCCCAAAACTTAGTGGCTTAAAACTATTACCCTTTTATTTGCTCACAGCTCTGTGAGTCAGATATGTGGACTGGGCTTATAGTTAGGTAGTTCTTCATCTAGTCTCATCTAGGGTCACTCATGTAGCTGCAATTATCTAGTGACACCACTGGGGCTAGATAGTCTAAGATGACTTCTCTTGCATGTCTGGTTTTGGTCACCAAAGTTCTATTTGTTTATAATCTTTGGCTATTGGCTGGGCTTCTTCACATAGTAGAAGAAAACCACGAGAGCAGTAAAAACTGCAAGGACTGTTGAGACCTAGGTATGGAAGTCACACAATGTTGTTTCCACTATATTTTGATGGCTAAAATAAGTTGCAAGTCCAGCCTATGGGAGGAGTTACACTCCACCCCTTGATGGGAGGACTGCAAAGAATTTGTGGCCTCCCCACACCCCTCTTTTTGAACCTTCCACAAATAGAAGATGGCAGGATGAGTTTAGGATGTGTTACTTAGCCCTTTTGGCCTTTTCATTAGCCTAAGTAGCATTTCCTCCCAAGTTAGTTATTCAAGGCTCTTTGTGTCCTGCCCTCAACTCTTTTTCAGTAATTCTTAGAAGACAAAATGTCAATTAAAATGAAAAAAAGTTTTATTAATATTAACTGAATTTTGAAAACTCTGAACTATAAAACTATTTTTAAAAGAAAATACAGTTTAAATTACATTTTTAACATTCTTATGAACTTGAACTTGACTAACAATGATAATGGAAAACTACTCAGAGTCTTGACTTTAATAGACCAAGATTATGTGTTATTACCACATCATCTGTTAGTATTTAATTAACTATTTGTTGTTAATTTTTTAAGCACTTTAATGTACAACCATTTAAATCTTGACTATATTAAGAATTTCTTAGGTAAACTATTTGATTGATATGTACAGGTAGACATTGAGACAACCTCTTTGAATGATCTAGTACACTGAATTAGTTCATTCTCAATTGATCATGATTTAAATTCTGTTTAACTTTTGCCAGTATTCAGCAGATACAAATGTGATTTCCTCTGAGTTATATTAGTTTCTAGTCCCTCATGGTCTGCTATTTTATTCTGCTTTCTATTCTGAAACAGTTCTTAGCCTTTGTTTATTAATCATGGGAAACAGTTGTGCAACATGCCTTGACATTAACTTGAATATCTAAAATTAGTCCTGCTACCATCAGTGGTTGAGAGCAAGGTTTCAGTAGTTTGTGGCCTGTGTTAAGTAAGGATTGCAAGTGCATGGTTAGAAGGAACTCCCAAGAAATAAGTAAGTGGTTTATGTTATGTGTATGTCCATGTACATCTTTAAATATGTAATTAAGGAAACTCTTTATTAAGCAGATGAACAAATTACATGTTATTACAACTTTTTAATATGCTATTCAGAACATCTTTGCTTATACACTGTGCTGTTTATAATCATTTCAGAAGAAAAATATATTGAAAACAAGATGATAAAACATTTTTATTGTGAATTTTAGTTTGTAAATGCCTTTTTCTCTCTCTCTCTTCAGAGTTTATAAAAATTTATTCATGAAAATGGCTTCCTGGTTATATGAATGTCTTTGTGAAGCTGAACTTGGACAGTATTATCCTCATTTTACTGCCCTTGGCCTTCAGAAAATAGATGAATTGGCCAAGGTTACCATGAAGGACTACTCCAGATTGGGAGTCTATGACATGAATGACCGCAAACGTCTCTTCCAACTTATCAAAATCATTAAGATTATGCAGGAGGAAGATAAAGCAGTCAGTAGTCCAAAGCATTGTTTTCAGACAAGCAGCCTATACATCAAGCCTCAGGAATTCAGGTCTGGCCCTCGCAGACAACTGCATTTTGATTCTCCTGTTGACAGTAAAGACAGAAGTGCCAGCAATGAAATGTACAATTTGTCAGATTTTTCTGCAAATGAACCAAAGTTCAGCTACCTGAAAGAGTTGGAACACATGCTGCCTGATGATTCCCAGTACCATACAAAAACCAGAACTCTGAATGCCACTGCTGCTGATTCCTATGTGCAAACACAAAGTAATACTTCATTCTTTTCATCAAATCATTTTTCTCCAATACTAGGAAATTGTGATATTCCCATTATTCAAAGAGTCTCTCATGTTTCCGGGTATAACTATGGAATCCCTCATTCTTGTGTCAGGTAATTATTTTTACCTTTTTTGTTCTTTCCTTCCTTCCTTTCTTTTGTTTTCTTTCTTCCTTTTTTTTTTTTTTTTTTTTTTTTGAGGGAAAGTAGGCTCAGGGAAGGGCAAACCTCTCAGAACCAGAGGAAAGCAACTACTTATTTACTGTAAATGAATATAGCATAGAAATGATACAGATGAATGTAACATGGAAACGATAGAAATGCTGTGATGAGGAGTAAATTAATAAGGGATTGGAACTTTCCAAATGGGAGAAAGATATTGTTCATGTGCATCAAATTGCAGCTACTTGCCAGAATCTGCTATTATTCTTACAGCAGACCTATTTCTGTTATTTATTATAGTGTAACATGATGCATCTTGTATATCTGTGAAAGTATAATTAGTTAACTGGCCTTCTACAATGGAATAAAATTTACACAATTTTACAGGATTTTTTTTTAAGGCTATTAAGTTCACATAAACCAACCAGAAGACTTACGGCTTAGTTAAAAACAAAAATCAGGTAGTTAAATTAAGTAGGTCTTTGGAGTAGTTAGATCATTTGTATACTTTGAAATGTGACCCAGATTTTGGCTGCTTTTTGTGGGAGGAAGGGGGCTAACTAGAGTTTGAACTCAGGGCCTCATGCTTACTAAGCAGGTGCTGTACCACTTGATTCACTCTGCCAACCCTGACTGCTTTTTATTTTATTTTACAATCCCAGCCCTAGAAAAACAGATGATTTTAGTGATTATGAAGAATAAGACACTTCTTGATGAAGATTAGAGTTTGAGTCTGAATGACAGATACTTCCACCTAGAGCTTCAAGTTAGAATTTGAAATACAGTGAAACACTAAGTAATCCCTAATACTAAGAATGATAAAGCAGGAAATATGTTCTTTAAAAAATTATGTTGCTTATTTTGTTATTTTTAAAAATAATATATGCAAGTTATGGGAAAATAGAATTCATTCTTAATTCATATCTTTTCATAAAAAATGCTGTTATAAATACCTTAAGATAAAGTATTTACTTTGGTCTTATATTTGCTAAAGTTCCAGAGGATCTCATAATCAGTTCTTTTACAACCCCCAAAATAGAACTGATTTTAAAGGTAAAAGTACCTACAGTAATTTGAAATACATGGTGAATTTTATAATTTTTGGAAACTTTTGTTTACTTGTTTTTTGGTTTGGTCTATCAGCACAGCATTTAGTACTGATTTTTTTTTCTTTAGGTTGTGAGAGTACTAGATTGTTCCATGACTATGAAAGCCAGGATAGTTGCTGTCCTGTCAGTTACCTAAGTGGTAAAAGAGCAAATTGAACAACACACAAAAATATCTAAATTAGAATTATTTACAAATGAAAATATCACTTTTCATTATTTAACACTTTCATGGACTGAATGCACACTTTAGTTTAAATATTGCCATTACATTTATTTGACAAACATTAAGAACTATTTCCTAGGCCTGACTGACTCTTGCTGTAAAGATAATTAGGACATCTGGAGGCTCTTAGATGAGTGGGATGACAGACATAAATTATATGCACCATGCATGGTTGTGCCTACCTATAATCCTAGCACTCAGGAGGGTGAAGTAGGAGAATCATGAGTTTCAAGTTAGACTGGGCTACATAGCAAGACCATGTCTCAACAAACAAACTAAACAACAACAAAAAACAAACCACACAGCTTTAGAAGAACGTGCATTCCTTTTTACCTTTTGATCTTAAGAACTACAGCCTTTTGTTCATATGGCCCACCTTAGGATCCCTGTACAATTTTAAGAAGGACTGATTGGTCATGGTTGTGCACACCTATAATCCCAGTATTTGGGATACTGAGGCAGGAGGATCACAAGTTTGAGGCCAGCCTGGGTGAGGACAACTAAAAATAAATAAATAAGACTAAATATTTTCTACCCTCTTTGATTAGTTTCATGTGAGTAAGTTATTAATACTTAACAACTAGGGACTTTGACCCAAAACCCTTTTAAAATTATGGATTAAAAATTAATTTTTTTCTTATGAAAAATAAAACATGCAAAAGAGAATAGAACAGTGAAACCCACATGCCAGTCACCCAGTTTTAATAATTACCAATATTTTCTCACATCTCAAAATGACACATTTAAAAAGTAAAAACAAAACAAGAATTAAAAGATGCCTTAAGTACAATGGTTTATAAGCATTAGACATTTTGTTTATTTTTTTGCAATACTGGGGTTTGAACTCAGGGCCTTATTACCACTTGAGCCACTCTGCTTGTCCTTATTTTTTTTTTTAATTAGATCCTGGAAAAAAATAATTTTCCAGCCATTTGGAGGGTTCAGAAAATCAGAATTGATATGAAACAATTATGTAGGATAGTATCTTGTGTAAAATCTGTTATGAAAGGCTTTTTAGGGGCTATAAGGCCAGTTCAAAAGTGTGAAGGAGGAAATAATTAATTTGTCTTGCTAAGGTATTCTTAGTATGTAGACCAAAAGTCACCTGCTTTCAAGAACCCTATTGTTACCTAGTGTTAGAGGACTTTTGATAAAGCAAGCAGTCGATATATCACCATTAGATTCAGTAAGTAAGCCTGATAAATTTTGTGTCTATAATGCAAGGAATATTGCCTCAAATATTGGGTGTTACGTAATTTAATGAAGTCAGTGAAGGAATACTCTGAATAAAAGGTTGAGTTGCAGTGAAGCTCTTTTGTACAATTGATGTACACTACCTTTTTTTAAAAAAAAAAAAGTTGAGTTAGTAGTAGATTAGTCATAAAATTGTCCTGCAAAGGCCAGGCATATGGCTCACACCTGTAATCCCAATTATTTGGGAGGCAGAGATTAAGAAGATCACAGTTTGAGGCCAGCCCAGAACAAAAAGTTAGCAAGACCCCCATCTCAACAAACAAGTTGGGTATAGTAGTGTACATTTGTAATCCCAGTTACATGGGAGGCATATGTAGGCAGATCACTGTCAGAGGTTGGCCCTGGACAAAAGCACAATACCTTATCTGAAAAATAACTTAAAGCAAAAAAAGAGACAAGGTTCAGCAGATAGAGTGCCTGCCTAGCAAGCAAAAGACCCTGAGTTCAACTCCCAATACCAATAAAAACCATTGTCCTGGGAAAAAGAAATAAAATGATTGTGTTCTAACAAATGAATGAATATATATCACAGTTGGCAAAAAGAGGTTGTAAGGGAATGGGACACAGGAAGAGAGAGAATATATCTTCTAGAACAGGAGAAAAAGTATATTGAAACCTACTACCTAATTCAAGACATTAAGTAAACTCCAGTAGGATAAAAAGTAATTTAGATTAATGGTCAACAAAATGTTAAACATACAAGAATAATTGAATCAAAAGAAATATGTGGGTTTGAATTTTGTAAAGGCCTTGGAGTAGCACATATTGCATTAGATTTTGAAAATTAACCAGTCTAAGTTTGGGGGATATACAGAGCATACAACGCTAGAAGATCATATCTAGAAGCCAAACATACAAATCTTAGGTCTAAAGTAATTCTTAGGGTTTTGTTTGTTTTTCAGGGCAAGGTTGTAGGGTGGGGTAGAGATGGAGATGGGAAGTAATCAGGAGGACTACTAATTAAAGAACTGTCTCATTGCTGGCATTTTAATGTGTAATTTTAAAAAATACATTATACTTGGCATACAATGAAATGTTCTTATATTTTGACCACTTAAATAACCTTATCCTCCTATGAATAATTAAAGCCTACTTATAAATATTTATCAGACAGAACACCTCAGAGAATCCTTGGACCGAGATGGAAAAAATCAGAGTTTGTGTTCGAAAACGCCCTCTGGGTATAAGAGAGGCACGCCGTGGAGAAATTAGTATCATTACTGTAGAAGACCAAGGAACTCTACTTCTGCATGAGAAGAAAGAAGCAGTTGACCTCACACAGTATATTCTTCAGGTACGTTTTTCTTTTGTGCTTGGAACTAATATTATCAAATATGTCAATTTTCTGCTTTTTGTTTGAGTGGTAGTATACAAATTCTAAAATCCACTTTCTCATTCCTGATGTGGCATAGTGTTAAATCATTAATACCTTAGGCCTTCATTTAAAAAATATATGGGACAGTGGGGTCCACAAAAGCATAATTCTTGTATTCTTGTGCAGTGGAGCTTCATCATACATTCACTTGACATGTTTTTGTTTGTTTGTTTGTTTTTGCAGTACTGGGGTTTGAACTCAGGGCTTCATGCTTGCTATGCAGGTGCTCTTACCACTGAAGCCACCCTAACAGCCCTCTTTTGTGATGGGTGTTTTTGAGGTAGGGTCTCATGATCTATTTTCCTAGGCTGTCTTTGTATCGCAATCCTCCTGATCTCTGCCTCCTGAGCAGCTAGGATTACAGACGTGAGCCACTGGCACCCGACTTGCCTCTGCATCTTACAATGTGAACTCGCCCTGCTGGATGAGAGTCTTTTTCAGACAGTATGTGGGTCTGCATTCCAGGCTGGTCTGGAACTTGCCATGGAGCCCAAACTGGCTTTGCACCACTGTCTTCCTGCCTCAGCCTCCCAAGTGTTGGGATTATAGATATGTACTACTATGTTCAGTTCTTGAACAATTTTTTTTTGTAGTACTGGGGTTTGAACTCAGTGCCTCATGCTTCCTAGGCAGATACTCTACCACTTGAGCCATTCCACCAGCTATGTCCAGTTCTTGAGTATGAATTTGAGTTTAATGGTGCGCAGTATCTTTTGAGGCAACAAAGCACCAGATTGCCAGCCAACTGCTCATTTTGATTCTGAGTTGTCTTGGACTTAGACTTAATTGTTGGAAATTGGGCTCTGATTAGGCCACTTTGTACAAGGTAGATTGCAATGTGTAAATATAACCTAGGGATATGTTTTCACATCTAACATATAAGAGTTTAAATAAAACACTGTTTGCTCAGACACATAAAAATAATCACCACCTGCTAAAATAATTATGAAGAGAGTTTGGTAGTGGAAAGAACTTATTCAAAGTTAATAGGTACCTTTGCAATAATTCTTCATTCTCATGGGGAAGCAGCAAACTCCACAGAGAGATCATACTTTAGGTACTTCTAAAGTTGTGAAATAATTGTGAATATCCTAAAATAGAGGATAGACAATCTACCAGATGTTAAGATTTTGTAATTCAGAGTTTGTTATTCTGAATTACCTCCTTAGTTATTCATATTATAGTCATTCTTGCATGCTCTGTCTTGTTGTCTTGCCTTAAAACCCAGTAATTGGTAAAGAAAAAAAAGTGGTGAATAATCTAGTGTGCTGTCAATTCACCTTAATCAGTTGAGATCTTACTCTACTAGAATAAAGCCTTTAACACTGAAGTCAAATTGTTAAAACTTTCCCCCTCTTTCAAACTTGCATTGTTCTTTCTTTCTTTGGTTACCAAAATTGGATTTCACAGAGACATTCAGAGTAATCCACTGAGTCTTTCTATGGGCAATGAATTACTTGGCTGCTGTACAACCAACCCAATCACTTTAACAGCCTCATTGATTGTTGATCAATGCACAGTCTATTAGGTTTCAGTGGGAGGTATTTATTTTGAAGATGGTCTAAATGACCAATTAGTTGTAATGCTATCTAGTTCCATAGCTACTTATAGCCACAGTAGTAGCGCTATCCAATCACCATCTACCCAAGACTTCCTTAATGATGCTTCAATCACAGTAATTCCCTCAAGGAGGCATCATCTTATCTTTTGTATTTTTCCATTATCCCCAAACACAGTAACCTTACTTCTTTGTCACTACCATTGATCAGTACTTATTGAATACCCATAGTTTCCATGGCATTTTCTCTGCTGTTTGAACTTTGGACCTTTGTTCTCATAGGTCAAAGTCCTTACCTGTCAATGCTCTAATATAAAAATGTTAAGAAGATTTTTTTGCCTTTCCCAAAGAGAAAAAAGAAAGAAGACAAAACAAACTTGGTGTGAAATACTGATTCTAGATTCTTTGGGTTTTATTTTTAACTTGTTTAGGTTTATATATCTAATTAAATTCCTGTCTTTCCAAATCTTGTTGTTTAGTAAATATGACCATAACCATTAAATTTTATTATATCAACATAATAAGTGAAAAAACAAATTTGTATGTTTTTCTCCCAGTATTGAGAATTGATTCCAGGACCTCACACAGGTTAAGTAACTCTTCCCTGAATTGCATCCCCTGCCCTACTTTCTATTCTTTCTATCTATCTATCTATCTATCTATCTATCTATCTATCTATCTGTTTTTATTTAAGACAGGGTCTCACTATGTAGCCTAGGGTGGCCTCAAACTTGCAAACCTCCTGCCTCAGCATCTTGAGTGCTGGGATTACAGGCATGTACCACCACACGCAGCTTGCCCTTTTCGATTGTTATAGGGACTGTAGCATAAGTCATATGAACAAAAGGGATGTGTTTTTTTGAACTTCAGATCGCAAAAAGGAATGTATGCTCTTCTCCTAAAAGGCCCATTTTTGGTAGGTAGTTTGTTATTGAGATAGGGTTTCACTACGTAGCCCAGTCTGGCCTGGAACTCATGATCCTCCTGCATTAGCCTCCGAAGTGCTGTGATAACAGGTGTGCCAACATGCCTAACTCAATTTCCAATTTCTTAAAAAATAGAGGAAAAAGATTGTACTAAAGTGTACCAAAAAGTCAACAGGTGCTATCTCGGGATAGCAAGATTTATAGACAATTTGACTTCTTTATTATTTTCCATATTTATGATATTTTCGACAATCTTTATGGTACTTTTATATAAAAAGGTAAGTACTTTTGAATAGAATAGTTTCACCTATTTTAAAATCAAATGGGAAGGCTCAGCACCTATAATTAAGCACTATAAAGGGTGTGTGTTTACATCTTAAATGCCTACAAAATAAGATTAAAATCTTTTTCTCCCAAAAAAATTAAAAAATGCAAGGGAAAAAATAAATGCAAATAGTACTAAAGAGTATACAGTAAACAGTGTCCCTATAATCCTATTTCATCTTTGAAGATTAGTGTTACCCATTCTATATATATCTTTCCAGAGGTATTCTATAAATATATATTATAGTACTTTCATAATTTGAAAAAGAGCTTATTTAAAAAATAAACTATGGCTGGGTGCTGGTGGCTCATGCCTGTAATCATAGCTACTCAGGAGGCAAAGATCAGGAGGATCATAGTTTGAAGCCAGCCTGGGCAGTTTGCTAGACCTTGTCTCAAAGAAGCTCAAGGTGTAGGCCCTAGTTCAAAGCCCAGTACCACAAAAATAAAACAACCTATGGAACTCTGTTCATATCAAGGCTAAAGTGAGGTTCAAAGTAGGTGTTATTCCAACCTCATTGATAAAATATGTTCAAGTGAACACAGTGTATATGATGCAAAAGATTTTGTGAATTTATACATATTAATTACAGTAATAACTTCTCATAGTCATACATCTTTCATGAAGGATGTTTACAAAAGCATCTGAAAAACCAGTATCTAAATCCTATTGGAAGGAAATACACTAACTCTCTTAATTAATAGCTGCTTTGTCAGGTGCTTAGTCAAGAGCTAAAGTTACTCATGAGCATTTATAGAGAGGAAAAAATTGCCATATTCATAGTGAAATAAAAGGAAAAAACAAAAAGTATATTCCCACATTTCTTTCTTTCTTTTTTCTTTTCTTGATATCTTCCTCCCTCTCTTCTTCCCTCTCTCTCAGAGCCTCAGGCATGCCCCAGCCTCATGTGTTTTTTTTCTTTCCCACCCTCATTCCCTCCCTCCTTCCTTCCTTCCTTCCTTTTGTTCCTTTCATCCATTCATTCATTCTTTTCTTTTCTTTTTTCTTTTTGCTTTTGCCAACGTACTTAGTGATAAAATAATCTATGGTGATATTTGAGAAACAAATTAATTTCTGTCCTTGCTTAGAGACCAGATGTGAGTTAGATAAATTTTCATTAAAGCCAAAGTTTACAAATATGTTTAATTCTTAAGTATTGACCTTTTAAAGCTTAATCAAAAGTATAATGAATCCCAGTAGTTATTAACATTTTAAGTGTTTTTAAAACCTTATCACATTGTTCAAAGCACTGTGAAAGTCCACTTTTTATCATTCTACACAGATTTATTATTCTCTCACCTCCTAACTTTTGGAGACAATTTCTAACTGATAGACTTGGCTTTGTGGTTCCAGTTTCTTCTCAGATGACCTAACAAATTTCCATGCTAATAACAGTACACGAAACAGAATTGAACCCAGTGTAGAGTGATCGCCTTTAAATTGGCTGAAGTCCAGTTTTCTAGATAAGTCTATACAAATTTTTCTTAACCAGATATTTAGTGGCAGAAGATAGGGCCTTATCACTCATTCCTTGTATATGGATTGTCATTATGCTACAGTCAGGCTTGAAATTATTAAGATTTTTTAACTCAGATATAGCTGGGTTGCCAGCTATATCTAAATTATGCAAATAATTACAGCTGTTGAATTAATGTTTTCCAGTCCCAATATAACAGGGGCTCCTATCTCTCCTTTTTCAGACTACCATTAATTTGTATTTGGAAGTCAGCTTGGAACCCTTTCTCTCCTCACACCAGTCAGTTCTCACATTTTTCATTTCCTCCTTATTTCCATTGTCATCACCTAATTTAGACTTTTCTTACCTCAGCACTGAATTCCTGGAGTCTCTATTCCCCATCCATTCACATTGTGAAGTCAGATTAATCTTCTGGTAAAATGACACACATTATCCTTCTCCTTTGCAAAATTCTTTTTTTTTTTTTTTCGGTGCACCGTTCCTGGAGGTACTGCAATACCAGGTCGATGCGTGGAGTGGACGGAGCAAGCCCCTATTCCATCTCCCTGTTCCAAAAATCCACTTAATATATTGTCCTCGGATAGAGGACGTATCAGATATTAAACTGATAAGAACAGATACTACACTTGATCTTAGCCAAAAGGCCGAGAAGCGATTGCAAAATTCTTTACTGTCTCCCCACTGTTTCTGAATTAAAAATGGACATTCTGCCAAGTCCCTTAAGGTTATTGTCCCAAGACCTCTATAACATTGTCCTAACTCATTATTATAGCCTTGTATCTCACTTTCCTACTTACCAAAACCCTCTAGACATTAAATTGGTAACTCCTGTGCTTTCCTGCTTTGACTCTTTGTTCATACTTCCTCTATCCCTTGAACACCTTCCCTCCCTCTATCTCCACCTCTCAAATTTCTCCTCTTCCCCCATGGTGCATTCTCAGTACAGTCTTTTGTAATGTCTTTTCCAATCAGAGGGAATATTTGTCCCATTGAATTCCACACATTATTTCTCTTTAAAGTTCTCTACTATCTTGTAGTCATTTGTGTACTGTGTAGATTAATATCTTAAGGGGGTGAGGTAAGGTATTTTCTATACCTTTGGACCCCTTCAAGCACCTACTGTAGTATACATTCTACCAGCTGAACAATAAATGTTTATGGAGCTACAAGTTAAGCTGTGTAACCTACAGAATAGAAATCTTCCTCTAGAGTTTGCCCAAATTTGCAAATATACTGGCCTTACCTGGTCTACAAATATAATACCTATAAAATTGAGTCACACAGCCCTTTTTGCTTTAGTTTGTTGTTTAAACGGATCTCATGCTTTTGCCCAGGCAGCCTCAGATGGGACAATGATCCTCCTTCTTCTGCCTCCTGAGTAGCTAGGATTATAGGAATGAATCACCAAGCCCAGTTTGTTTGCTGAGATGGGGTCTTGCTAACTTTTTGCCTGGACTGTACTTCAACCATGATCTTCCTATCTCTGCCTCCCAAGTAACAGACATGAACTACCGTGCCTGGCTAGAATTGGCTTACTCCTGTATTCATCAATTTAATTCCCTTAAGAGAGAACAAAGTTGTATGCCTTATTATTACATTTTAAGAACATGACTACAGAGATCTCAAAGTAAACAGGGCCCTGTCATTTAACAGTTACTAACTACTTATTTGAGTTTGTTGTGGTCATTTATGATTATTTAGAAATGTATTGAAGCCTTTATCTTATGTTAACTAGAATAGTGGTGAAGAAACTCCAGAAGGTATCTCTTCCTATAAAAATTAAATTTATTTTTCAGCACATTTTTTATTTTGATGAAGTCTTTGGTGAGGCTTGTACCAATCGAGATGTCTACATGAAGACTGCTCACCCACTCATTCAGCACATTTTCAATGGGTGAGAAAAATTATTTGTTTCTCTTGCTTTTTTTTCTGCTTTCCATAAATCATATTCCTTTATAAACATCATCTATGCTTTTTAGTTCTTTTGAATTAAACATGAATTTGTGTTTCGACCCAACAAATTTAAATTAGACTCTTGTGAAAAAGTGCAATGTCTCTATTTACAGAACTTACCAAGCATTCATAAATTTGCAGCAAAATTTCCCTTCACACTGATGATATTGTTTTTCTGTGTTTAATGGAAAAATGTAAGCTGTCAACAATGTACTTTTATCAAAGTCTTCAAAATTCAAAGATTTAAATGGCTGTAATTAGCCTGAAGTCTCATTATGTATTTTGGCTTTAGTTCAGTAAATTCTTTAGAATAGGATTGATAATGCCACTTACTAACTTTTCGTAGGTGTATTTTATTTAAAATTATTATTCACACTTAATAAACATTAAATGGGACAGAAAAGGTAATAGAAGCCACTTTTATATTTAAAATGTAGGCTTGGACTAGAAAAAAATGCCAAGCAGCCTGCTACAGTTGCTGATTCCAAAGAATCTTGACTTTCTTACTTGTTTATTTATTTAGTGGTGCTGGGGATCGAACTCAGAGCCTAAAACATGATAGGCAAGTGCTCCTCTCTACCACTAAGCAACATTCACAGCCCTGAATAGTATTCAGGTTTGATAGCTGTATCTGTACAAGTGACTAATACTCGAATAAGGTATAGAACATTTCCATCACCCCAGATTGTTTTCTTACATTCCTTTTTAGTTAATCCTCCACTCCAGATTTTATGTAACCACTGACCTGCATTTTGTTAATCAGTTTTGCCTATTCTAGAATGTCATAGAAACAGAATCATTATAATAAAATATTATTTTATGCCTAGTTTCTTTGTTTAGCATAATTTTTATTGTTTTATATTATTATATTTATATTAGTACATGTTTCGTGTATGTCTAGTTTTTATTGCTGAGTAGTATTCTATTCTGTGAATTTATCACAGCTTGTTTATCCATTCTGTTGACACACATTTGGATTTCCAATTTGGGGCTGTTATGAATAAAGCTGTATGAACATTCTTATACAAATTTTATTATGGATATGTTTTCATTTACCTTAGTCAAAAGCCTAGAAATTAGCCAGACGCTGTTGGCATGCACTTATAATCCTACCTATGCAGGAGGCAGAGATCAGGAAGATCATGGCTGGAGGCTAGCTGAGGCAAAAAAACAAGACCCTATCTCAAAAATACCCAACACAAGAAAGGGCTAGAGGTGTGGCTCAACTTGAGACCCTGAGTTCAAACCTCTGTACAGCCAACAAAAACAAAAACAAGCCAAGTGCTTGTGGCTCATGCTTGTAATCCTAGCTACTTAGAAGGCAGAGATCAGGAGAATCGAAGTTCAAAGCCAGTCCAGACTTTGAACTTTTTTTTCCATGATGAGACCCTATCATGAAAAAACCCATCACAAAAAAGGGCTGGTGGAGTGGCTCAAGGTATAGGCACTGAGTTCAAGCCCCAGTACCAAAAAAAAAAAAAACAGAAACAAAGAAAAACCTAGAAATGGAATTGCTAGGTGTTAGGATAGGTAAATGTTTATAAGAAAGTGCCAAACAATTTTCTAAAGTGTCACACCATTTTATACTCCCGATAGCAGTTTATGAGAATTACAGTTTTGCAAACTCAGCAATATTGGGTATTGTCAGTCTTTTTATTCTAGTAAATCTAATGTGTATTGAAATTGTATTTTATTGAGTTAATCTGAACTTCCCTGATGCTTAATGATACTGAGCATCTTTTCATGTGACTATTGGCCATTTGAATATCTTCATTTGCCCATTTTTGTGATTTTTAATTTTTGTTTTGTAGAAGTTATTTAAAATTTCTTATGAGCAAGCTAATATAGCAAAATATCTTTCAGGTTCAATTTCTGATGCACCAAAGCTACAGTGTTTTTTGAGAGAGCAAGTTTTAAAAATAAGTTAGAATTTCAGTATTAAAAACTTAGTAATAAAGAGTTGTGACTTAAAATCACATGTTCTGTAAAGTGTAGTGTGATTTTAGTGCCCATATTTGTTGCTTAAAAAAAATCCCTAAAATGTTCAGAATTTAAGCGAGATACTATTTACTTTCACTCTGCTAGATCTTCTTTAGTATGTTCAGATTTTCCTCCTGTTCTATGTCTCTGCTAGTATTTAAAGTACCTATACTGCTCGGGGACAGGGATCAAAAGACAAGAAATAACTTCTCTATGCTTCAAGGAGGTTAAATCTGACTAGCTCCCATCTCCTAATTCTCACCCTTCTATGGTTCCTTTGCTCTTGTCATTTTACTCTTTCTTTGTTTTCATATGTGGCTTTAAGCTCCTTTCTGTATACTCATCTCTCTGTCCACCTTCAGCCACTCCTGTTCATTCATAGACACACCCCCCTTCTTTTGTTTTTGTTTTTGTTTTTTTTTTTTGCAGTGCTAGGAATCGAGTCCAGGGCCTTGCACACACTGCGAAAGTCTTCTACCCAACCCTGACATTGACTTTTTGTTTTGTTTTTTTGAGACAGGGTCTCACTATGTAGCCCAGGTTGGCCTTGAATCTATGATCTTCCTACCTTGCCACCTGAGTATGGGGATCATAGATACTTTTTCTTGTTACAGACAGCTACTTTTATCATTAATCCATGTGATTTATGTTTAAGAGTCTTTAGTAGCTACTCATCCCCTAACACTATATTCATTCTCTGCCTAGAACTGCCCAATTGGAGCTCCTAATCTTCAGGTAGTCTTGTTCTCCAGCTCCTCTTAAAACATACTGTGATTGGCACTTTGGTTTTCCAGCTAACTTCTGCACCTCATCTTCTCTGCTTTTCACATTCATATAGGGTGTGTACATACACATAACCAAGATGCAAAATGGTGATTGTCACTAGACGATGGTGTCTCACACTTATGATCCTAGCTATTTGGAAATGAGATTGAGAGGAATGCAGTTCAAGGCCAACCCATCAAATAGTTTGAGAGATCCTATCTACAAAATAACCAGAGGAAAATGGGCTAGAGGTGTGGTTCAAGCAGTAGAGTACCTATGTGAAGACATGAATTCAAGTCCCAATCCAACCAAAAAGAAATAGGGGTTGTCACTTAGAATTGCTGAGATGGAAGGGGTCTTTGAAACCAAGTAACCCTTTCTTTACTGATGAAAGTAAAAACGCAGGCCATTTATGGTAGCCACCTGTAAATCCCAGCACTTGGGAGATGAAGGATCATGAGTTTGAGACCAGTGTGGGCTTCATGAGAGGCTCCATTTAAAGAAAAAGAAAACAGAGGAAGAAAGAGAGGAAGAGGGAGGGAGGAAAGAAGAAGAGAAAGAGGGGAAAGAGAAAAGAAAATAAAAACCCAGAGAGAAGTGAAGTGGCTTGCCTAAGTTAGGTAATAGCAGGACAGAGAAAAGAACCCAAGTTTTTTCCCTCAACATTTTAGAGGCTCTCTGCCTTCTTGATTTCTGCCTTTACCACCCAGCCCACTTCCTTACCCTTGTAAATCCTTCCTCCAATGCTCTGCTTACATTGGCTTACTCTTACTTACTTTTCATATGAGTAGTCACTATCATTCTGTTTATCATAGGATCTTCTATTATTGTATTTATTTTCATTTTCTATCACTTCTTTTACCAAATTTATCTTTCCAGATTAAAATGAAATCTATCTAGGATCATTTAAAGCACCTAGCATGGGGCAGGAACTTGGTAAATGGTTGTTGGCCAAATGGTTACTTAAAAGTCCTTGTTTCCTTCCAGAGTTGTCTTATGTAGTCTTACCAGTTCTGTAGAAAACTCCTGTAAGAAAAACATACTGGTTTGAAAATGTTTTTGCCTGAACTATATTTTCATAATGTAAAGCCCTCCTCTCCTTAAAGAATTATATACTCATAGTTAAATTTTGCCAAGGATTCTGTTTCTGCCTGACTTGTCATTAAAAACTCTGTATGTAAATTAGCACTTTAAAAATATGCATAAGTGATTCAAATTATTCTTCTCTCAGAGGCAATGCCACTTGCTTTGCATATGGACAAACAGGTGCTGGAAAGACCTACACCATGATAGGAACTCATCAGAACCCAGGACTGTATGCTCTGGCTGCCAAAGATATCTTTAGACAGTTAGAAGTGTCTCAGCCAAGAAGGCGCCTCTTTGTGTGGATCAGCTTCTATGAAATCTACTGTGGACAGCTTTATGACCTCCTAAATAGAAGAAAAAGGTATTGCTTATGAGTGGGAGGTTGTAAATTGTTGTTTTAAGCCAGAACTCCATAGAATCACTTTAATCACATGGGCTTTAGTGAGAGGCTTTGGTGTATTAGTGCTCCTTTGTAAAATGAGAATCTCTTAATACCGGATACATATTTTTTACACTGTCTATTCAGCTAGAGAGAAATGTAAATTAGCCTTCCATTAATTTTTTAATGAACAGTATTATAATGTCTTATCAAAAGACTTTCCCTTTTATTTTTGTCTATGAAAAAGGTCATAATTTCAGGAAGTCAGGAAATCAACATGTATTTAAATCTTTTCTTATTCTTTTCAACTATTATTATACTGGAAGAATTAAAAACAATGTTTCCTACTTTTTCTTCTTTTCCCTTTCAGTAATATTAACATAAACTTAATGATAGGTTTTTTTAATTGATAAAATGAAAAGAAAATCATTTTTTTCCTCACATGAGACTTTTAACTACTATTAGACATTACACTTAACTGCTATTAGACTTAAACTATTGCACTTGCAGCATAATACATTAATTTGGAAATGTATGTAGTAACTTTCCTTTTAAATTCCTAATATATGTTTCTGGCATAAAGTTTTTAGTTTGAAACAGGTGATTTAAAATGAGTAGGAAGCAATAAAGTTGTGAAGGGAGCAACTAACTGGAGAATAGAGGGTAAGATGGACTAGGGGAGGTAGAAGGATGAAAGATTACCATAAAAGAAAGAACCAGACCTGAGGCATGTGGGGGACTGAGCATGGTGTGCTAACTCTCCAACAAAGGTACCCAAGCCTCTAAGGAGCTGTCATACAAGGGCATCACCTTCCACGTGTTTCAGGCAAGCAGTGGAATGTGGGGTGGGAGGCCTCCATCATAGAGGGGCACTAGGGTACTGAGTAGCATAACTGAGGAAACCAGCAAGTGGGTTTAGACAAGCCGTTGTCCTGTGGACTATTCCAGCAAAAAGGGAGCTTTCCGGTATGGCACAGTTGAAAGAGGAGTTCAGGGTTCAGTCCTGAAACATAACTGCCACATGAAGAAGGGTGCTACTGCATGGAAGTTTTGGGCAAGAGTTGCCTTTCTCTTTCATTCTCTCTGTGCTGCTATTGAAGCCTTTAGATAGCTTCAACACCCTCAATTAGAAGTCCTTTCCACTGTGGAGATATAACTGAATGGTAGAGTGCTTATCTAGCATGTGAAAAGCCCTGGGTTCAAACCACAGTAACGCCCCACACAATTTTTTTCCAGCCACTTTGGTAGATGCCTATAATCCCAGCACTCAGGAGGCTGAAGCAGGAGAATCTTGAGTTCAGGACCAGCCTGGGTTACATATTAAGAACTTGTCTCAAAACAAACAGAAGTCCTTTCCAGTTAGAATGCCTTTAAAGAAGCATAGGATAAAAACCACTATTGTGTGTGTGTGTGTGTGTGTGTGTGTGTTTTATGTTTGTTTCTTTGGCTGAAAAGACAGGGTATTCAGGTGTTTCTAAATGAAATTCTTTAATGAATTACCCAGATTATTGACTTAAATATTTGCGTTCTTTAATTATAGCAGGAGGTAGGGGATAGGAATACACTAACTCCTGGGTTTGAAGCTTCTGAGACTCACTAGGAAAACCCGTACTTACAGACCATACTTGGTTTGTTTTTATATCTCTGGTTATTAGCTAATATGATCTTTTTGTTTCCTACCCTTCTAGGACTTCTAATGTTCTGGTTCTTTGATGGTACCCTTTCTTGTTTTTGCTGTTATGCTTTATTTTGTTGTTTTTAAATAAAATATGTGTTCTATAATAATGGGACTTTGACAAGATATATATTGTAAATCTAATTTTTTTCGGCAATACTGGAGTTTGAACTTGGTTTGCATTTGTTAGGCAAGTACTCTACTACTTAAGCCACAACCCAACCTTGGTTCTTTTGTTTATGAGTGTTGAGACAGGTCTACTATATAGCCAAGGCTGACCTTGAACTCTAGATTGTCCTGCCTCAGCCTCCCAGTTGCTGGGATTACAGGTGTGTATCACCACATGTAGCCTATAGTAGTTGTTTTCTGAGAGATTATGGGTGTTGTTGATAAAATTGTTTTCCTCTAATCATTCTGTAAAAATTAGGAAATTTGGGACGAAGTCCAGATTGAGAAAATACTTTTTTTGAGAAAGTAATTTTTTTTGGAGGGGTGGGTAGAGGGGGAAGCTGTAAAATAGAATTCTACTTTTAACCGTAATAGTCTCTTATTAAGGGAGGAAGCTACTTTTTTAAGAGTCTTTGATAGATTCAACTCATCCTGGGTTGAATGATGATGATGATGATGATAGTTCACAACCATTTATTACTTTATTTGCAGGCCTGAGGCATTCAGATGCAGCACCAGCTCTTGTTTTCTTAGGAAATGTATCAGAGCTGGGCATGGCGATGCACATCTGTTATCCCAGCACTTAGGAAGATGAGGCAGAAGTACATGGCAGCTTGTGCTACATAGCAAGATCATGTCTTAAAAAAATAATAATAATAAAACACATAGCCAGACTCCTTCTGTTACAAATAAGAGAAAATCCCATGACTTTTAGCATGCAGGGAAGTTATTGGCTGAAATATCTAGAAAGCCTAGACGGCAGTCTAGCTTTAGGGTTAGTTTACTCCAGCTGCTCAAGAATGTTCTAACAACCCAGTTCCTTTGCATTCTTTCTACTCTATTACTATGCTATTAGCTTCGTCCTGAAATTAGTCCTCTTTGTAGATACAAAATGGCTGCCACCACTCCCAAGACCACATGCTTTCTCTTTCAGAAAGAAAGGGAGAACATCTAACAACCAGACATCAGGACTTTATTTTGATTGGACAGCAGAGATCTCTCCAAACCAATCACTGTAGCCAGGAATATGCGGTCCACTAATTGACTTTTCTTTTTAATTATGGCCAAAGATAATGATTTGTTTATAAAAATCATAAGCCACTGCTGAAGTCTGAGGCTGAGGTCAGGAGGGCTGGGTTGGGGAGAGGAAGCATATCCATCCCACCCAATGGTAGAACTGCTGTGTGCTGAGGGAGTGGTGGAATGGTTTTGGGGGAGGCCAGGACCAAGTTTGTTTCAGCAGCACTGACTGTCAACGAACTTGCATTTGTGCATCTGCAGGCTCTTCGCAAGAGAAGATAGCAAGCATGTGGTACAGATAGTGGGACTTCGAGAGCTCCAGGTGGATAGTGTGAAACTCCTCTTAGAGGTAATTAATCTTCCTTCTTTATTATATGCTTATAGTAGCCTAAGTTCAGGGAAAGAATTCCTTTTGCTATCTAACAAGCAAGTATGGTGGACTTGGATCTAGGCAAGGGCAGTGACAAGCACATTACTTCATGTTTGGGAATGTGAGTCCTCTCTGAGAGGGTAGCTTATTTCTCCACAGAGTGATGATGGCCCAGTGCCATGGAGTGGGACATAGGCCGTGTGGGAGAAGCTAAAGCATGGCTCAAGGACGCTCTTGCTGTTTCAAAAGCTGCTGTTGGGTTTTTTCTGTGGAAGTGGGCTCTGGGGAAAACTGCTAGGGACAAATATTCATACTTTAAGAATTTTAATAAATAATACTTTCACATAGGCTCAAAATTCAACCAGTGCAATGAAAATCCCTTTCCATTCCCTTTTCCCAAGGCAACTAATTTTGTTAGTTTTTTTTTTTTTGTATTCTTCCAAAGGACTTTTAGAATTTGCTCCATTATTAAAAGTATCATTTTATTAAAACAAAAGTAATATTTGCTCATTATTAAATCTAAACACTACAGAAATATTTAAGAAGACAGAAAATAAAGGTCCTTTTAACTTACTGTCCTCAATTCTCTCCCCCTCCACTGTTAATACTTTACATTTTTTTATTCTGGATACATTTATTAACCTACATACACATATATTTCTGGTTAACTTTCTTTTAATGGTCTTTAATCTTGACCCTTTTGTTTTTTCTTAGTGGTGGTGCTGGTGATCAAACTCAGGGCCTTACACACACTAGGCAAATACCCTACTACTGAGCTGTGTCCCCAGCAACCCTGGCTTTCCTTTAGATCATGGGCCTTTATTCCTTGCTTAAAAAGTTGTTTAACCAGCCAGGGGCCGATGGCTCACACCTGTAATCCTAGCTACTTAGGAGGCAGAGATCAGGAGGATCTCAGTTTGAAGCCAGACCAGGCAAATAGTTCCTGAGACACTATCTCATAAAAACCCATCACAAAAAAGGGCTGGTGGAGTGACTCAAAGTGTAGGCCCTGAGTTCAAGCCCCAGAACTACAAACAAAAAGGCTCAACCCTTTTTATTGTGAAAAATAGCGGTATTCAGAAAAATGCCTGAGACCTAAATGTGTACAGTATAAAGGAACAAGCATCCTCAGAATCAACTACCCAGATGGAGAAATAGAACTCTACATCACTCCAAAGCCCCTGGGGTAACTTTCCAACCACACATCCCTGTTATCCTGACTTTTATGCTAATTATTTCTTATTCTTTGTTACAGTTTTACCACCTATATATTCATCCCTAAACTATGTAACTTTGTTTTCACCAGTTTTTGAACTTTGTATCAAGAGAACCACATTGTATCTATTCTTTTGTTTCTTCTTTTATTCAGCATTATGCTTTTGGGCTCCATTTATGTTTTACATATAGCAAAACTTCTGTATGTACTTGTTTGTTTTTATTTGTTGTATAGTATTCCACTATAGGAATATGCCACAATTTTTAACTCATTTTCCTGTTAATGGGTGGTTGAGATTGCGTCTGTTTGGGGGCTATTCTAAACAATGTAGCTGGGAGTTTCTTTATACATATATTTTAGTTCAGAGTACATGGATTCACTGTTTGTGAAATGACTGAGTCAAGGGGCATGCATATCGTCAACTTCACTAAATGATACCAAGAGGTATGTATTCCCACAGACAGTATATGAACAGTTCCATTGCCCTTCATCTAACACTTTCTGTTGATTGATTTTTTAATTTTGATTTTTTTTTTTAAGACAGGGTCTTACTATGTAGCTCAGGCTTGCCTCAAATTCACAATCCTCCTGATTTGACCTCCTGAATGCTGGGATTACAGGCCTGTGTCACCACACCCAGCATATTTGCCCTTTTAAATTTCACAGTTCAATAATTTTTAAGTATATTCACAAAGTTGTGCAATCACTGCCACCATCTAGTTCCAGAATTTATTTTATTTTATTTTGGGTACTGGTGCTTGAACTTGAGCTATTCCACCAGCCCTATTTTTGTGAAGGGGTTTTTGAGGTAGGGTCTCATGGAACTATTTGCCCGGGCTGGCTTCAAACCATGGTCCATCTGATCTCTGCCTCCTAAGTAGCTAGGATTCCAGGCATGAGCCAAATCATCCACTAAATTTCTGTCTATGAATTTGCCTATTCTGGCTATACCATATGCAACTTTTTGGCTCTGGCTTTTTTCGATTAGTTTTCAAGATTCATCCATGCCGTAGCATGTATCAGTGCTTCCTTCTATGGAAGTTCCTCTTTATGGCCAATTTATAGCCCAACGTATGGATATACCATATTTTACTTATCTGCCCATCAGTTGATGGACATTTGAGTTGTTTCCATTTTTAGACATTAGTAATAATGTTGCTGTGAACATTCATGTACAAAAGTTTGTGTGGCCATATTTTTTCAGTTTTCTTGGGTATATGCCCAGGAATGGAATCGTTGGGTCATACTTTTTGAGAGACTGCAACATTGCTTTCCAAAGTAACTACCATTTTACACTCCCACCAGCAAAACATGAAGGTGAGTGTTTATTTTAGAAGCTCCTCCAGATGACAATAATGTGCAGTTTGCATTGTCATTTTAGTACATCCAGAGAGCCAAGCTAGAATAAAAGGGAAAAGACGAGCACAGGCTTGACATGCTTTACCTATAGTACAGATTCAAGCATACCCCTTCAGGGAGAAGTGTCTGAGCCTTTGGGAAGAGGGAAGGCAGTACATTGCCGTCAATGAAAGTTAAAACCTCTGTAGATGATTCTACTCTCAGACTTTCCTGCTTTCTCACCATGTTGTAATAATAACTGCCAATGCTTACTGAGCACCTAACTATCTACTAAACACTTAGCTACAGATTTTTGCAAAGATTATCACATTTAATCATCATAAAATGAAGTAAAGATTGTTAATTTCATCTTACAGATGAGAAAATTAAGGTTAAAATTGACAACTAAAGATCAGATAGATAATGGCTCACAGATCAGATTCCAGATTGGGAAGGCCAAACCCTTTTCACTGTACTACACTGCCCATGGTGTATCATGAGAGATCAGTTGTTCTTCTGAAGAAAGAAAAGAGGCATTCACTGAATCAATATGTTTATGGCATATCCTCTGTGATTACTTTAAATTGGATGTTTAAAGGACTGTGTTTAACCTCAAATAACAGGGTTTGTAGGAACTTTTATTGTTGCTTTTTCAAAACTAACAGTTAAAACTCACTAGATATGGTGGTTCACATCTGTAATCCCAGCACTCAAGAGTCTTAAGCAGGAGGATCACAAGTTCTAAGCCAGATAGAGCTAAATAGTGAGACCATGGTCTCAAAAAAAAAAAAAAAAGAAAAGAAAAAAGAATTGGGTTGTGAAATGTCAATGTGGCCCACCATCAGCATGTGTCTTTTTCCTAATAGTCTCTTTTTTCTGGGGAAGTAGGTAAATTTTGCTTATCTATGAGAGCTGACACCTCATATTTGTGTGATTATAGATTTCTGTGTCTTAGTAATTTTTTTGGCATCACTGGGACTTGAACTCAGGGCCTCACACTTGGTAGGCAGGCACTCTACCATTTGAGTTACTGTGCCAGCAAGATTCCTTTGTCTTAGGATCTAAAACCTGAGTGTGGCCATTTTAGAAGGCCACTTAAGGCCCCCTTTCTAGAGATTACAAAGCTGGAACAAAGGCATGTGGGTCATACTGTTAGGGCTTCCCCCCATGCTGTGTTACTGCCAGGAGTTTCTGGTGAGTCTGCTGGTCCTCATGTTTCCTTTGTCTTTAAAGAGACAAAGGCCAGTTAAATGGGAAAGGAGCAAATACTATGAGGAAATCTTGTTTCTTTGCCGGTAGGCCACACTCATTTTTTTGTTGTTGTTGTTTTTTATTAATTTTGCTTTTTTTTTTTTTTTTTTTTAGTACTGTGGGGTTGAACTCAGGGTCTACCACTTAAGACACACCTTAAGCCCAAGCTTTAGTTATTTGTGGGAAAGGATCTTGCATTTCTTCTTAGGCCAGCCTGGACCTTGATCCTCCTGTTATACTTTCCACATAGCTGGGATGACAGATGTGTGTCTCCACACCCAGCAAATAAGTTGAGACAGGGTCTCACTAACTTCTTGCCCAGGCTGGTCTCAAACCAGCTATCCTCCAGATCCCTGCTTCACGAGTGGCTGAGATTACAGGTGTGAGCCACAGTGTCTGGCCTTTTTGTGGGTGTGTGTGTGGTACTGGGGATTGAACCCAGGGCCCCAAGCACTCTGCCACTGAGTTATATCCTTATTCCCACAACTATGCTTTATGAACAGTCTGCGTTGAACCAGTCTCTCTATCCTGGAAAAGTTTATGGTACTGTTCTATCCTAAAGTATTACTCCTAAGAAAAGCATAAAGAAGTTTCTTATTAGTCAACATGTAGTTTTATTGTCATTGATATCCTCAGTCTCCAGTCCTTGTGGTATTGTACAAGCAGAAAGACAGTTGAGATCAAGATGGAAAATTGATATGAATCAGATATCTGACGCAGCTACCCTCATAAACATTTATTGACTTGAAACAACACTTGTCTAACTCAGGTATCATCACACTTTCACTCTCTCATGTGTCACTGTTCATACCCACTCAGGTATCACCCATGTGTTTTCTCAAGTATCATCTTCAAGCCTTAGCCTCAGATCACCCTCACGCTCACTCAGGCAGGGCCATGAGTGAGCATGCATAGCTAATAGCTTCATTTTCCATATGGGGTTTTCTTTCTCCATCTTCACAGAGGAGTCATTACCTCATCACATTTCTCACATTTGGAATCAAGATTTTTTTCTGGGCCAGGCATGGTGGCTCATGTCTTTAATCCCAGGTACTCAAAAGGCAGAGAATAGGAGGATTGCTGGTTTAAAGCCAGCCTCAGGAAAAAGTTAGCAAGATTCCATCTCAACAAGTAAACTGGGCATGGTAGCATGTGCCTGTCTTCCCAGCTACACAGGAGGCATAAATAGGATCAAGGTCCAGCCTGGTTCAGGCAAAAACACAGGACCTTATTTGAAAAATAACTAAAGCAAAAAGGACTGGGGACTTGACTCAAGTGGTAGAGTGCTTATGTAGCAAGCACAAGGCCCTGAGTTCAAACCCCAGTACTGCCAAATAAAGATTCAAAAATCTGCTTTTCAAATCTCATGGATAACATTTAGAAACATAATTATAATTTAGACCATTAGTAATAAATTGTAATTTATTTAATTGGTTACAACTTTTTAAACCACCTGTCCTAATTAAAATATTTTGAGGCCTGTTGTTGAAGTTTGGCTCTGTCAACTTTTGGACTCTTAATTTAGGAACTGTAGCTATGTTCAGTATAATATAAATTAAAATTATGAGAGATTGAGAAAAAATGAGATAGGACTTTCATACCCTTAATTTATTGCAAAATAAATGATTATTATAAGCACCCCACAGTGTAGTACAAACCATATGGACTTTGGAGTCATAAATGTAGAATGTGGAATTTGGTTTTGCCACACAACTGCTATTTGACTATGAGCAAATCAGCCTATCATTTTGTTTCTCAATGGGAAACTGGGGATAATAATCATACTTACTTCACGTTAGGCTATTATGAGAAATAATGTTTAAAGATGTTTGCTTTTTTGATTCTCAGTAATCTGCAACTCCTCATCTTGTCCAAAATCAGGTCAGCAAACCTAAGTACTTGGGAGGCTGAAGCAGGGAGATCACAAGTTCAAGGCCAGCCTAGGCTACACAGCAAGACCTTATCTTAAAAAAGCCCAGGCAGAATGTGCATATATGGCATACATGTGTTTTCAGTGGCTGTAGGCCAGTTTTCAGGCTTTACTTCCCCCTCCTCCATTCCCTTGTGGTCAAAGGGATCCCAGTTAGTCTTTACTCCCAAGCAGGGGATTAGGGGGAATATCAGTCTCAAGGGAAGTCATGGACTTATGATAATCAAAATAACTCATCATTTCCCTGTTCCTACAGTTCAGGCCTGGCCTCTTTCTTGCTCTGCATCCTGATAGAACAGGTGGATGTGATCAGTCATTCCATTATGTACATTTCTGTCCTGGGCTTCAGTTACTAAGATAAATGAGTATTATGAGACATTGCTTTGGAGCCAAGTTATACCCTGGGGATTTTAGTTAGGGTAAATCCATCAAAGATATTAAAAAGAGTATATGAGATGAAGAAGTAAATTAGCTCTTGAGCTAGTGAATGTGCTCCCACAAGATTAGTATTCCACATTGTTTTCGTTGCCGTTGGGTACTTACTTTGTTTGATTTAGTGTCTGGGCAGCTTTCCACCTGGACAGAAAAAAAAGCTGAAGTACACTGACAAAATTATGTCTGGGATCTATTTCTTACTTAGGCAACTCTTTGGAGCCAGAGGGCTTTGTTTGCTCCTAGGCGAAGTCACCCTATGGCTTTTATTTCCAGGTAATCTTAAAGGGCAGCAAGGAGCGCAGCACCGGGGCTACTGGAGTTAATGCAGACTCCTCCCGCTCCCATGCTATTATCCAAATTCAGATCAAAGATTCAGCCAAGAGGACATTTGGCAGGTGAGCTGGAACTACTGAGGGAATTGCATTGTCTGCCTTTCCTTAATGTGACTTCAAAGTATGTGTTATCAACAACAGGACACTCTTTCACCTTGGAGTCTTCATTTCAGGGATATGGAGTAGAGTTTTTAACCCTGAAATAAATCATTATACTAAAGTGCCATCAGTTGATTAACCATGAAGTAATGACCTATTGTTGGTCAACCCTAAGTTATTAAAAGGGACATTGATTGCTTCTAACTTGAAACACAGTATCAGCAGAGAAACAGCAAGGAAAGCATCTCAGAAAGCTTGCAGGCCATAAATAGGGGGTGAGGGGGAGTTAATCCATTCTTCTTGAAAGAAGCAATAAGACAATTGGATATATTCATTGCTTCTCTGGTGCTTTCTTAGCAAACTCTCTGCCATGCTGATGGATGAGCCTATCTCACCTCTGAGTAATGAGTCTTTCTTTTCTTTTTCTTCCTTTCTTTTTTTTTTTTAATCTCCCTCTGGAAAGCAGCCCGCAAAAGTTTCTGTTTAATTTTCTAAGTGGTCACCTAAGTGATTTGCATTATGATCATTTAGCCTTATGGGAAGAATACGTTATTAATTTCAGTCATAGTTTCTCACAAGTTATTAGAACCAACAGAAATCTCTGAGTGAACAATGCCAGTAGCAGCTGACAGATCAGAAACTTGTGATGTTTTTGGAAAGTTGACAGTAATGTCTTTTCTTTCCAGAGGATAAGCCAGTGTTGATTTCTTCCTGAGGTCACAAAATATCAACTAATGTACAAGTAAACCAAAGCCCCAAAGAAGTCATCCCTGTGGTGTCTTTTCTCTAGGATCTCTTTTATTGATTTGGCGGGCAGTGAAAGAGCAGCGGATGCCAGGGACTCAGATAGACAGACAAAGATGGAAGGTGCAGAAATAAACCAAAGTCTTCTGGCTGTAAGTTGCTTGAAATCTAAAAATCCTTCTTGAGAAATTTTGCCCCTTACGTGTAGCCAGACTGGGTAAGGGCAGGATGGAATCTGCACAGCATCAGGCAGGCTCTTATCTGACAGTGGGATTCCAGGGCTGGATAGAAGCTGCCCAGTCAACTCTCAACAGTGCTAGGCAGCTCTTCTCCCCTCTTCCTGTCTTGTCTTTAGTCCCTGCCAATTAGGAATTGAAATATTTCTGCAGTTGCTAACTGGTTAACTTAGTAAGCTTTCTTCCTCTCTCCAAGTGTTAAAATTGTATTAATTGAGGAAGGAAGATGGTGAGCTTGAGGCCAGCCTAGGTTATATAGTGAGTTCCAGGCCAGTTTAGGCTTCATAGTGAGACCTTGTCTCAAAACACCAACAAAAAGATTGTATTAATTCTTCAAGCATACAAAAGGAAAACAAATAATATAATGCTCTCTCATATACCTGTCACCAAGCTACAATATAATTGAAAAACCTAACCAGAAGTGATGGCCCCTGCCTGTAATCCCAGATACTCATTGGCGGGGGAGGCAGGAGGAACTTGAGGTTGAGGCTAGCTTGAGCAAAAGTTGGAGACACCCTATCTCAAAAACAAAATATAAAACAAAAAGGGTAGAGGTCTGACTCAAGTGGCAGGGTACTTTTGCCTAGCATGTGTGAGGCCCTGAATTTAATTTCCAGGACCACAAAAAAAGAAAAACTAACCAATCCCATCCTTCCCCTTGGTTTGATTATTTTAAAGGAAATTCTAGTCATCAATTTATTTCTTCTACAGATATTTCGACTTTTTTTTTTTTTTTTTTTGGTGATACTGGGGTTTGAACTCAGGGCCTCATACTTGTTAGGCAAATGCTCTACCACTTGAGCCATGCCTCCAGCCTTTTTTGCTTTAGTTACTTTTCAGGTAGGGTCTCTCAGTGTTTTTCCCCTGGGCAGCCTGGACTGTGATCTTCCTACTTATGCCTCCTGTGTACCTGGGATTGCAGGTGCAGGCACATGCCACCATTCCCATCTTATTTGTTGAGATGGGGGTCTTGTAAACTTTTTGCCTAGGCTCACCTTGAATCTGGGTCCTCTTGAACTCTGCCTTCCAAGTAGTTGAGATTACAATTGTAAGCCACCATATCCAGCCTAGGACTCTTATTTTAATGGTATTAACATATAATACTATTGTTATACCTTTGATATTACCTATTATCTAGTATTCTAATTTCTCCAGTTGTCCCATCAGCATCTTTTTTTTACAGTTGTTCAGATCAAGATGCAAATCATATCCTATATCAGCTCTCCTCTCCTCCACTGTGAGGCAAGTTAAGCAAGTTCTGTCATCCCAACCTTATAGATTAGGATTCTCAAGCTCAGTGGGCTAAAGGAATTGACCAAAGGGCCAAAGCTTCTCACCAAAAATCTATGATTCTAATATTTTAAACTGTGGTCCAGGAATCAACTGTGAAACTTGGGAAGAAGTCATATAGCCCTTTGGGACTTGACTTTGTCTATGGCACATCACCATAGCACATGCAAAGGAACCTAGGAATAAGCCTTCTAGAATAGGATCAAAATCTTAGGTGTACAAAAGTGCCCCTTATTTCTTTCCTGAATATTTCCCTTGATTCCTTCTTAGTATTTAGTAGAGTTTATTGACCATTCCATTCTGATACAGCAAAGCCAAAAAGGACCCAAGGGCTCATAGGTATTAGTGGCCATACTTGGATTGGAGTATGTAAGGGCAGGTATAACTCAGGGGCAATGTTTTGATCCCCTCTGAATAATCTTTCCATTGCTAAAATTGGGGGGGGGGATACTGGATTGTTTTTGGTTTTTTTTTTTTTTTTTTTTGGTTGTACTGGGGTTGAATTTAGGGCTTCATGCTTTCTAGGCAGATACTCTACACTTGAGCCACTCCGCCAGCCCTGTTTTTTTGTGTTGGGTATTTTCGAGATTGGGCATAAACTATTTGCCTGGGCTGGCTTGAAACTGCAATTCTCCTGATCTCTGCCTCCTGAGTGGCTTGGATTATAGGTATGAGCCACTGGTTTCCAGCCTGGATTGATTTTTAATAAAGGAAGATATTTCTGAGTATAATCCCAGTGTAGCAAGATCCTGTCTCAAAAAAAAGGAGGTGGGAATACTGACCTCTCAGAGATGGGGCAATGATAGCTTTCTATGATTGCTGCTAAGAATAGCCCCAGCAAACTCTCAAGACTACTTTCCTGTTCTTGGTAGACCCTTGAACTGATACTTTCAAAGGATTGCTTCCTTTGTCTTCCCTCCCCTCCTTTTCATTTACTGTCTTTAAGCCTAGATACATTACTCAGAAATAGATTTCTTCTCCATCATCTTGTCCTCCCCTCCCCTGCCACTGTTTCTGATGGGCACATTGCCCTGGAGGTGCACATATCTGGGTTTCTGCCAACCTATTGATGTCCAATGAGGACTTCTCACTCAGAGGCCATGCCCAGGAGCAGATGCCATTCCCTACCACAGTCTCTTCAAAAGTGAGGGAGTTGAAGCCTGGTGCTGGTGGCTCACACCTTTAACCCTAGCTACTCAGGAGGCAAAGATCAGGAGAATCATGGTTTGAGGCCAGCCTGGGCAAAATAGTTCACAAGATCCTATCTCAAAAATACCCAATGTAAAAAAAAAAAGGGGGGGGCTGGCAGAGTGGCTCAAGTGGTGGAGCACCTGCCTAGCAAACATGAGCGCATGAGGCCCTAAGTTCAAACCCCAGTACTGCTAAAGAAAAAAAAACAGAGGGCTAGAGCTAGATGATTTCTCAGTGCCATCTCACCCCTGACTCTAGAATTTCTCCTGCCCCAGACAATTCACACCTGTGTGTATGTACAAGTCAGAGAGAGGGAGAAGTGGCTCTACCTAGGTACATCAATAGTTGGGAAGATTGTGAGGAGAAAAGGCAGCAGGCAAACCAGATATAAGCCTGGACTCTGGGACTTGAGGGTGGGTTCCTGGGTTTGTCTGTCCCTCACTACTGACTCAGGGCTAATCCTAGGATCACCACCTCTAAATTGGGAGGCCTTTAGCAAGCAGGACAGAATGTTTCCCAGTTTTGCTTGGTTTTAGTTGTTGAACAGAAAACTGTAGGGCATTTCAGCTTCCTTTTGGGGGAATGGCCTGAGTGTTCTTTTTTTTTTTTTTTAAAGAAAAGTAAGACTTCATGGATATAGTATCTGATCTGTTATTTGCTTTATATGTGCTATTTGACATGCTTGGTATTCTCCCACCTTGCAGCTGAAGGAATGTATCCGAGCACTGGACCAGGAACATACCCATACTCCTTTCAGGCAGAGCAAATTAACTCAGGTAAAATAAAGCATGAGCCTTGAGTTTGTTCTGGTTCTTTCATTGTTCCTTGTTCCATTTCTTCTTTTATTTAAACAGGATGTAATCTATGTAATATGTTTTATAATGTGTATTTGTCCGCCCATTTCTTTGTTCATTTCGTAGAAAATCCATTGCCAGCAAGGCATGATGCTAGCTGTACTGGAGAGAAGAGAAGCAGGAGCTCTCAGTCAACTAGGTCTCTCCAGAAGGTGACTCAGGCAGAGATATCTGCAGTAGCTGGGGCCCTAAGGAGGCAGCTGGCTCTTATGGTCACTACCTTTCTGTTTATTTCCAATGTTAAGAACCTTATTTCCAAGTGTGCACATGCCTACCTAAAGTCCATTCTCAGGAGGATCACTTGAGCCCAGGAGTTCAAGGCCAGCCTAGGCAGCATAGCAAGACTGCATCTCAAAAACATAAAAAGTAAAAATAAGTAATAATTTTGCCAGGCATGGTGGTATGTGACCGAGTTCCAGATACTCAGGAGGCTGAGGCAGGAGTGTCACTTGAGCTCATGAATTCAAGATCAATCTGGGCAACACTGCAAAACCCCATCTCAAAACAAAACAAAACAAAACAAAAACAAGCAAAAGCTGGGTGTGGTGGTACACACCATTCAGGAGGCAAAAGGATCATGAGTTTGAGGCCAGCCTGAGCTACATAGCTAGACCATGTCTCAAAAAAACAAAAACAAAACTACAGACTGGGGGGTCAGTGGTAGAGTGTTTTCCTAACATGCATGAGGCTATGGGTTCAATACCTACCACCATGAGAAAAAAAAGTAATATTATTAATTTAGTGGAGTCTCTGACCCTTTGAAAGGGTTGGTATAGCTGACTTGGTACTTTCTTAATAATAAGGCATAGACTGATGTTTCAGTACAAAAAAATAATGGCTGAAATTTTAAAAATGCGATAGATTTTCTGTATGTACTGATAGGAAAGATGACAAAGAAAGATCTATTATGATGTTTAAAAAACAAGCCATCAGGGGTCAGTGGCACCTGCTTAGCATGTGTAAGGCCCTGGGTTTGATCCCTGGTACTTAGGGGAAGGGGAAACAAAACTATGAAACCCTGCAATAATCGGATTGTGTGAGTTTAAAGCATGTTTCCTATTGTATGTGTAACCACAGAAGGAAAAAAGTTTAAAAAGATGGAAAAGAAACAGCATTGGATACAACTGGAGAGTAACAATGGGAGTAACTTTCAGCATTATAAGATTATGTAAAGCCCTTTTTTGCTTTAGTTATTTTTCAGATAGGGGTCTTACATTTTGCCCTAGGCTTGCATCAGTCTATGATCCTCCTACCTATGTCTCCCATGTGACTTGGATTACAAAAGCACTTGGATTACAAGAGCATGCCACCATTGCCCAGCTTGTTTGTTGAGATGGGGTCTTGCTAACTTTTTTTTTTTTTTTTTGCCTTGGCTGACCTTGAACTGTGATCCTCCAGATCTCCACCTCCTGAGCAGCTGTGATTACAGGCATGTGGCACCACTACTAGCTTAACTGTGATTATTCTGAATAGTGGAAATATAAGTAACTTAGATATTAAATCAGCACTCATGTTGGTTGCAGAAGAGCAGAATGGGAAGGAGTGTGCCTAAGTATCAATCTCTGTGAAGATAATTAAGTCTTCTTGGGTCTTTTCAGCACCATGTCCTAATGTACAGTGGAGGACAGGTGAGGTAGAAGGAGGCCTAGGGGAAGATCCTCATATGCTGCGCATTACAGGACCTGGGGTACAACCTATAGTAACGCAGCTCCATGTAGTCAGAATTGGTGATCTGTGGGTTAGATGGTATCTTCTCAAACAGGGATTTTCAACCTGGGACTGAGGAAATCCTTACAGGTAGGTAGTCCTGCTTCTGACATTGACCACATTTAAAAATAAAAAAAGTTACCCCCAGAAAATGTGTTCCTATTGAATTAAAAATAACAATTCCAACAATACTTGAAGTACAAAAAAGATAAAAACATTATCTTAAAATCTCATCCTGCCCAGTGGTAACATCCTCTGTGCCTTTATATCCACACATGGCCCCTCTTTACAGTCACGTGATCATATGCTTTGTTACTTAAACATTTACTATTATTTCCTTATTTTTAAGTGGAGATATACCTAATCATTGTACTCAATTTATGATTGTTTAGTTTCCTTGTTTATAGATTAGTATATTGTTTCTAAATTTTATTATAATGTTGCAATGAATATTCTGTGCATGCTTTTTGTCAATTGAACATTATCTCCTTAGGATAAAGTCCTAGAAATGTGATTGCCATCCCAGTGTTGTGCATCTTCTTTTCCTTTTGTTCCAAAAAGCTGTCATGGTACATAGCAGTGAAGGGAAGTGCCCTTGTTTTGGACTCCCACCAGGACAGGGTACCATCAGTCTTTTATTAATGTTTTGGGGTTTGTTTTGTTTTGTTTTGTTTTTGGTAGTACTGGAGTTTGAACTCAGGGCTTTGCACTTGCTAGGCAGGTGCTCTGACACTTGAATTTTTTAATCTTCTGGGTTAAAAATAACTTTTTCTAGTGGTTTATTAGCATTTCTTGATTAGTGATGAGGTAACTTTTTCTGTGTTTATTGGTTATTTGTGTTTCTTCTTTTGTGAGATGCCTTTTGTGAACAGAGGGGAGCTGTGACACATCCTGCACATAGTAAGTAGTCAGTATGCCCTTTGTCAGTTGACTTCACTCATTCATCTGTCTTCTGGTTTGAACAGGTCCTGAAAGATTCTTTCATTGGCAATGCCAAAACTTGCATGATTGCCAACATCTCACCAAGCCATGTGGCCACCGAACACACTCTGAATACCTTGCGCTATGCTGACCGGTAAGTCAGCTCCCAGATTGGGGAGTTGGGGGGTAATGTGTGTGACATGTGTTTGTGCATGTCTCTCACACATACAGATCTGACACTGAACTGCACAAGCCTCTTCTTGGAGCAGTTAGTGATTTATAGACTGTGTTCTAGTAGGCCCTGCTTTTGCAAGTGTGACGAGGAAGATGACACAATCCCTTGTTCAAGAGTGGACTCTATTGATCACAAGATAAAAGCAAGAGCACACAAGGGAGATATGAGGCTAGGTAAGACACCAAAAAATTAGCTAGCATTTGTTGCCCTCAATGCAGAGAAACTAAAGCAGATACTTTAAAAGCAACTGAGGCCAACCGGAGAAGGGGACCAGAAACTAGAGAAAAGATTAGATCAAAAAGAATTAACCTAGAAGGTAACACACACGCACAGGAAATTAATGTGAGTCAACTCCCTGTATAGCTATCCTTATCTCAACTAGCAAAAACCCTTGTTCCTTCCTATTATTGCTTGTACTCTCTCTTCAACAAAATTAAAGATAAGGGCAAAATAGTTTCTGCCAGGTATTGTGGGGGTGAGGGGGAGAGGGAGGGGGCGGAGTGGGTGGTAAGGGAGGGGGTAGGGGCAGGGGGGAGAAATGACCCAAGCATTGTATGCACATATGAATAATAAAAAAATAAAAAAAAAAGAGTGGACTCTAGCTGGTGGCATGGCTCAAGTGATAGGGCACCTGTCTAGCAAGCTCACAGCCCTGAATTCAAACCCAGTACCACCAAACAACAACAACAAAATTGGACAGTGTAATCCATCCATGGCTTTTCAATGGCTACTGAAAATGAAATATTAACCTAGTGTGATAGGCTTAATGAGCTTTTCTTCCTGCTAGCCTAAGCCCTACTTGTAAAGGATAGAATGCATATATTACTTGCCAAGGCAGAATTATTTGGAGCGGTGTAGCTATAGAAGAGACCAACCTGGACATGTTAGAAGGACATCCTAAGGCCTAGAGAAGGGCAGGAACTTTCCCAGGGCTCCTCAGAAGTTGATGGAGGAAAGCTAACACCTCTTTTTTGCAGAGGTAGAAGGAATACTAAGGCTTGAAGTCAGTACTTCATGCTTGCGAGTCAGGCACTCTACCACTTGAGTCACGCCTCCAACCCTTTTTCCTCTTGTAATTTTGGAAATAGGGTTTCGCTTATTGCTCAGGCTGGCCTGGACCATGATCCTTCTCTTTTAGGCTTCCCACTGTTACTGGGATGACTGGTACATGCCACTATACCCAGCTTTTTTCCATTGAGATGAGGGTCTCACAAACTTTTTTGCCTGGACTGGCCTGGAACTGTGATCTTCCTGATCTCAGCCTTCCAGATAGCTTGGAATGAAAGGCACATACCACTGCACCCAGCTATTGGTTGAGATGGGGTCTCATGAACTTTTGGCCTGTGCTGACCTGGAACCTCAGTACTCCCCATCTCAACCTCACAAGTAGTTAGGATTATAGGTGTGAGTCACTAGTGCCCAGCAGTAGCATCTCTTGACTGCCTGCTCAGGCTTCATTTTTGGAGTGACTTTGGTATCTGCTACCATCCCTACCATTTCTACCCTGTGGTCACATGAGTTTCTTACAGTGGGAAAGACATTTTTAATGGTCATGACTCCAGAAAAGTACTACTGGCATCTAGTAAGTAGAGAGCAAGGATGCTGCTAAACATCCTACAACACACAGAATAGCCCCTACAATAATAATTTTAGGGTAGGGCACAGTGGCTCCAGCCTGTAATCTTAGCTACTCAAGAAGCAAAGATCGAGAGGATCATGGTTCCAGGCCAGCCTTGGCAATAAGTTAATGAGATCTCCCATCTCAGCAAATAAGCCAAGTATTTCACAACTGTAATCCCAGCCATGGGGCAGCATAGGAAGGAGGATTGTCATCTGAGGCCAACAGTAAGCAAAAACATGAGACTCTATCCAAAAACAAAACTAAAGCAAAAAGGGCTGGGGGCATGTCTCAAGTGGTAGAGCACACCTGCCTGGCAATCATAGGAAGCCCTGAGTTCAAATCCAGTACCATTCCCACCCCCACAAAAAAAAGAAAAATGAATTTTATCTGATGCAAAATGTCAATAGCACTAAGATTAAGAAACCTGGGAATAGACAAATCATTTTTTCCCTTATGAAGTAGCACAATCCTGCTTACTTCTTGAAATGCCCGTCATGTTTGAGGAAAGTCATCTTCCCAAAACTTGAAGGGGTGTTTTTGCAGGAAAAGAGGGTTCTTCCCCCAAAGAGGGCTCTTTTTGTAGAACTGCAGGTGAGTAGTAGATGTGAACTCCTGAGTTTGCCCATCTTCAGGAAGTACAGCCTGCATCCTGCATGAACATAGTACAGTTCTTTGCGTGTGGTGGGGGGGGAGGGGGAGGTGGTACTGGGGCTTGAACTCAGGGCTTTCACCTTGAGCCACTCCACCACCCCTTTTTTGTGAAGGGTCTCGTGAACTATTTGCCCAGGCTGGCTTTGAACCACAATCCTCCTGATCTCTGCCTTGTGAGTAGTGTAGTTCTGAGACTTGCATCCTTGGCTCGTGGTAATTTACAAAATTCTTCTGATCATGGAATGTTCAGTGCATGTTTATATTCGCAGAGAAGATACTGCTTTTTTTTTTTATTCAAGTACACCAGGATATCTCATACTAAAGTAGATGTACCCTTTCCCCCTTATTCTCTCCCAGATTTAAAAAAAACCTCCCAGTTCTTGTCATATTTTTGTTGGGTATTGTTTTCCCTAAAAACTATATAAAAGGAGTTACAGACATATAGAAATACACTTTTTATAGTAAATGGTTATTTACAGGGTCAAAGAACTGAAGAAAGGCATTAAGTGTTGTACTTCAGCTACCAGTCAAAATCAGACATCTGGAAACTCCTCTCCAAAACGAATACAGAGCTCCCCTGTACCCCTGCCAGGGGACAAGTGTTCTCCAAAAAAGGTTAAGCTGGGGCTTCAGCAGTCACTCATAGCGGCACCTGGCTCCACAAGAGAGAAGGGCCATCCTCTGGCTAGCCATCCACCCAACATCCCTTTTGCCTCTCTACCTAAAGTCCCTGGCAAAAGGGGTATCTCCAGAAGGAGTCCTCCCCAAGAATGGGTCATGAAGACTAGCCCTGTCAAAGGAGCCATACGGTCTGGACATGTAGCCAAAAAGGGACTAGAAGAACAAGCACCACTGTGCTCTGAGAAAAATCAAATTGGCAACAAGACTGCTGTTGGGTGGACAAGCAGAGCCTCAGGCTCAGGAGAAGGCCTGGTGCGTGGCAAGCAACCTGCCAGGTGTAAGAAGGTGCAGACTGTGCAGCCAGTACAGAAGCAGCTTGTGTCACAAGTTGAGCTCTCCTCTGGCAACAGCTGTTTAACAGAGGACAGTCAGGACAGCAAGATGAACATGCCTGCCAGGCTTGCCTCTGAAGCTTGGACAAACATTCCTCCACACCAGAAGGAGAGGGAGGAACATTTGCGCTTTTATCACCAGCAGTTCCAACAGCCACCTCTCCTCCAGCAGAAGCTAAAATACCAACCACTGGAAAGTTTTTTATGCCAACACAGGTCCATAGAGGGTCAGGTCCAGAGTGAGACTCCTCCCTTCTGCTCTTATTCTGAGAGCCATGATGGAGCCCAAGCCGATGACCTTGATGACAGTGATTTCAGTGAAGATTCATTTTCACATGTCTCAAGTCAGAGGACCATGAAGCAAAAAAACACCCTGAAGAGCAAAAGCTCGTTCTTCCTTCATCAGCACTGGGAACAAGTTCCTGAGGAGCAGGCAACAGAAAGACGGCAGTGTCTGTTTTTTAACTCCAGGACAGGTGCTGATGAAAAGGGTCTAACTGAAAGCTGGATGTATTCCAGGGACCCCATAATAAGTCACAGAAGAGCAGCACTCAGTTGTAGCCATAACCCAAGTAAGGTGCACTTGGACTGGAACAGAGAAGATGACTCCTCCTCCTCAGGGCCTTCTCCCAGAGACAACCTGGCAGAAAAGTCTTCCTGCTCACAGGTGGAGTTTGTATACAACCAGAAAAGAGGTGGAGCCCCAGCTTTCGACCTGAGACAGGAGACCTGCAGAGGTGGGGTTCTTGGGCAGACTGAAGGCAGTTCACCATCCCCAGAAGTTGGTTTTTCTTTCTCACTATCCCACATTGCAGTTCCTGTGTCCCTAGACCAAAGAGACACAGTCCACACTCCACAGAAAGAAGTCAGTGAAGACACTCAGGCAATGAAAATAATGAAAAATAGTAATCCTTTCCAAGGAGAAGACTCTAGAGAGCACTTAGGCACATGCTCTGAATATGCTTCTGGACTAATGGCTCCTCTCACTGTATCCCTCCTGGAGACTCCAGATGAAGACCTTTCTCCCTTGAACCAGCTGGCCCAGGATGGGGCTGTGCACAGTCTAGTGGCAGAGATCACAGGGGGACCAGCTGTGGGTGACACAGTATCATCTAGTGGTCAAGAGGCAGCCTTGCCATTGTCTTCAGCAACTGGGCACCTGTGGCTGTCCTCATCTCCTGATAATAAGCCTGGTGCTCTTCCAACTCTGTCACCATCACCCATCCGTCAGCACCCAGCTGATGAACTGGTCAACAGGGAGGCTGACCTTCAGGAAGCCTGCCAAAGCACAAAGTCTGTACTCTTTTCCCAAGAACATGTGGGTGGCGAGCAGTATAATGCTGATGCTGAGGAAACAGAACTGGGTGGCCCTTGGGATTTCCCAGGAAGGCCCATCTCTACCCTACATATTGGGGTACCCCATTCTGGACCTATACTCACCCCATGTACAGGAAGCACTGAGATAGCTGGTCAGCCCTGGATGCAGGAGAGAAAACATCCTTCAGGACTCAGTTGGCAAGAGCTTGGTTTGTCCACAGACCCCATCAAGTTGCCTTGTTATGAGGACAGCACATGGCTCAAACACAAGCCAGTCTCAAGGTGCTTAGCATCACTAGACTTTCCTCTGGTTTCCAGCTGCTCTCCAAAGACTACAGGGACACCCCATCATCCCATCCTAAAGCAAGCACAGTAAGTTGGACTTTCTCCCTAAGACTCCAAGCCCTTCTGGCCCTCCACTCCCTCCCCAGCTTAATGTTTTGTCATGCACAAAGAGAATGCCACACAGGGATGCACAGAAAGGAGCTTGCCTCTCTGGATGAACAATCTTGCTGCTCCCATGCTCTCTACTTATCATTAGTTTGACAAGAAGTAGCTCCTTCAGAGCGCAGATCACCTACTTTGGTCCTGGACCCTCCACAGGAAGTAGAAATGAGAGCAGACCTGTGCCACGTATGCCAGTTGCAGTGGTTACAGCCTTGAAAGCCTTTCTCATGGAAGGTGGGTGAAACAGGCAGCTCCTGTGGAAAAGCAGTACCCACTCTGCTCCTCAGAGTAGGAGTAGGCAGGCAGGCAGGGACAGCCTGAGAAGCTCCCATCTGTTTTCCTACATCTTGTTGATACTCTCTAATTCCTTAACTAGTCCTGAGAAAAGAACAGGGGAGGGGACAAGGGCAGTGAGTCAGCCCTGTTCAAAGCTTTGACCATATGGGCAGAGGCAGCTCCCAGCCTCAATGAGGTTCAGTTTCAGAAAGCTTCCTGAGAGGATGGGCAGCCAGGAGTTTCAGTTTCCTCTCTGGTGTTCCCAGGCAGGTGGTCATCCGTGCACACCAGGAACAACTGAATGAAATGGCTGAGCTGGGTTTCAAGGAGGAGACCCTGATGAGCCAGCTGGCTTCTAACGTAAGTAGCCTTGGCTGGACACTCAGGGGCTGTTGGAAGTTAGTCTGTGGCTAGTTTTATGGTCACCTGTAGTTGCTGTGGTATGTGTAGGGTAAGGTTCTGCTGCCACATCCCAACTGCTGTTGAGGCTTTGTGCCTCTTGTCACTCCTGAGACAGTTTGGAGAGGGGCTGGGTACAGGTGGGAATGGCTACATTGCCATTCCCAAGCTAAAAGGTTTCCAGCCTGTCCTTAGCCACTTAGCCTTCCTAGTAGCTTGTTAGAGCCCCTGTGACTGTAGCAGTGACAACATGCAGATCAAATGGGGTATTTCTAGCTAAATACCTCTCTGCTCTGCAAAATACCCCCTCTACCTATAAAATGCAGAGGAGTGAGCATCACTCAGTGCCACAGAAACTCTCCTGTAGGTTTTCCCCCTGGGGGAGGGGCCTGATTTCTGAAATTTTTCTGTAAGAGGAAGAACTAGAAAAGATGATCTGGCAAAGGACCAGCAATAAAAAAAGCTCTACTTGTCCTTTGTTTCCTTTCTCAGGATTTTGAAGATTTTGTGACCCAGCTGGATGAAATCTTGGCTCTGAAATCCAAGTGCATCCAAAGTCTGAGGAATCAGCTGCAATTGTACCTCACCTGCCATGGGCCAGATGCAGCCCCTGAGAGAACAGTGGTATCTTAGAGCAAGATCTTACCCTGGATGGTGGGACAGTGTAGGAGCCTGTGTCAGGTATTCAGGGTTTGGGAGAGGCCCCTGCCAGGTCCTCTCTGTCCATCACTCACTCCCTGGTCCTACCTATGCTAGCCTTACCCCAGCTGCATATAGCCTCAGATGGGCCCCAGCTTCCCCCTCAGGGCAAGGCCTCTATCCCTCCTCAGTTCCAAGCTCAGGAGCATTCACAAGAAAGGAAGTGCCAGTCTGAAGACCTTAATGCCCATTCCTTTTCTTTGGGTGGCGCTCAAGAAGCATTTGCTTTACTCACCCTGTGTCTGTGGAAATACATCTGGTTTTAACAAGTGTAGATGTTCCTAAGTTTGAGTATCAGAGTGAGATGGTCAGTGGTAACCTGGAGAAATCCACAGAGGTTGTAAATTAGGAAAGAGGCTTGATGAGCTGAATTCTGTACCTTTCTGTCTTCAAAGACTACAACATTGGTTAAAGATTAAAACATTGGTGCTAGCAGAGCAGCAGTGAGGTGAGCAGTGCTCCATCAACCCTTGGAGATTTTTGAGAAATTGTAAAATGAATAAACTTTTGATGTGTCTTTAACAGCAGATTAGGGCAGGCTGTATGCTAACATGTTCCCCTCCCTTCCTGCAATTCAGTTTTGAAACACAAGAGGGTGCCCATGTCACTGCATTTTTCTTTTTCCATCTCTACCTTTTGCTGAAGTGACAGGCCTTTGGTCAATGTTTGCTAACCCTAATGCTTCTGTGGCAGTTCTTGGCTACCATCTGTGATTCTTCACTCCCTATACCACTCATGGAATGAATGAAGAACTGGAGGCGCTCAGGCAAGTCTATCACCTAGGCTTGTTCTTCCAGGCTAGCCTGTGTTTATTTTGGCACTAAGTGCTATAGTCAATAGTCTGAGGCCTCTGACACAGGATACACCCCTCCCCCCTTCATCTGAGTTTTGCTTGCTTGCTGTATCATCTTTTTAGCAGACAGAAGCTCAAGGCAAGGCAAACAAAGCAGCCTCCAGAGCCCATCACTTCTGAAGGTCACCCTGAGTCTAACTGAGATTCATATGACATAGCCTTGGCTCAGAAGCCCATTACCATGTAAGCTTTAATTTTTTTCAAGTTGTAGGATAACTTTTAAGAGGAGCCCTTGGTACTTGCCTGTAATCCCAGCACTTGACAAGCTAAGAAAGAAGGATCATGAGTTTGAAGCCAGCCTGGACAACATAGTGAAACACTATCTCAAAAAAATAAAAGCCAAGAGGGCTAAATGGCTGTCTTGAGACCCTCTGTCAGCCTCAGGTGGTGCTTAATGTAACCACCAGAGGGCATCCTACTCCCAGCTTAAGGTTCTGCAGTCCCTCAAAAAGTAAATGAAAATTTAGAGGCCCACTCCCAGCCAAGAACCCCAAAGGGATGATGGTATAGTATTAAGTGTAAGGCCAAAAAACTAGGGATGAATTCTTTCAGACACAGCAGCACCACTGAGAAATGGGGAAGCACTTTAAATCCAGTTCTGCCTGAGGCTGAGTACGTCAATGCCTGGTACTACGCAGAGGAAAAGAGGCTTCCATACCTCCTGAAGGACTCCCTAAAGCCCCAGCTGCTCACCCTCCATATCTGGCAAGAGGGCTTAGGTTTTTGGTCCAGAGACCAAGACTGTTTTGGTTTTGGTGTTTTTTTTCTGCAGTACTTGGGTTTTGGGGGGGGGTGGCGTTTTGTTTGCAGTACGTGGGCTTGAACTCAGGGCCTTTGCCTTGAGCCACTCTGGCAGGTGTGTGTGTGTGTGTGTGTGTAGGTGTGGCTAGGTGTTGCCTTGAGCCGCTCTGGCAGGTGTGTGTGTGTGTGTGTGTGTGTGTGTGTGTGTGTGTGTAGTGTGTGTGTGTGTGTGTGTGTGTGTGTGTAGGTGTGTAGGTGTGGCTAGGTGTTGCCTTGAGCCACTCCGGCAGGGGTGTGTGTAGGTGTGTGGGTGTAGGTGTGGCTAGGTGTTGCCTTGAGCCACTCTGGCAGGTGTGTGGGTGTGTGTGTGTGGCTAGGTGTGCTGGGATTACAGGCATGAGCCACTGGCACCCAGCTAGGTCAAGTTTTCAAACAGGTCCTTATCTGTGCCTGTCTTTGCAAACCAAAAACTAGAGGGGCCCCACAGAACCTACAGTAGAAAGTACTGAAATGACAGAAAATGGTTAGGTCCCATTCCAGCCTCATCCTCCTAAGTAAAACAGCTCTTGCCAATAAAGAAGTTATCACAACAGGACATACCTTTTAGATTTTTATTAGTAGTTCTCTCTGAAGAATCAAAATAGTTAGCAAATTAGATTCATCAAGACTGTATATACTTTGTATTTAGATCTTTAATGATGTACAACATAATACAAAACAAACCAAAAAGACTAATTTCTATGCCTAGGTGTTACTCATTGTGTCATCCTAAAGCAGGGCTGGAGGAGTCTGTTCAAGTAGAACAGGGAGGTTAGTGCTGGGCAACTAAGTTGTGGCCTGTTTGCTCACCCATTCAATGTGCTGGGAAGAGGCCAATGATTAGTCAGACTGACAAAAGTTTTAGAGCAGGGTTTTAAAGCCCTGGGCAGCAGAGGATTGTAGTCCAAACCAAGCCGAAAGAAAGAGACTAGAGAGGGAAGCATGGGAACTGCCTAGCAGAAGAGGCAAACTCAGCCCTGTGGGGAAAAGTGCATCATTTGCACCCTAGAAATATTGCAGAACCAGTGTAACACTAAGAGACTGTTATAGGGGGTTTGAGGGGGGAACCCTGGAAGAACCTTTCACTTGCATTCAGCTTGGATTAAAGTTCAGTCTACCCATGCAGGTAGATTGGGAAGCATTTAGCCCCAAAGCAGCACTGAGTCTGGCTCTCCCTTTTATTCCCCACTCCTCCTGACAGCCAGGCTAGGTTTTGGCTGAGGACACAGAGACCCCAGAAAGACCTAAGTATTCTTTCTGGAAGGCCAAGATGGGAAGGACACTTCTCAAAATACAAATACATTTAATATGGAAGGGGCCAGGACAGGTCTGGGGCATTCATTCACATATCAAATCTTCCCCAATTTCTCCCCAGCTCAGGGCCTAGGCTCAGAGAGACTGCTGAGCAGTTTCTACACCTGACCTCTAACCCCCAAAAGAAAATCTGGAAGTGTGCCCCTTCTCTTTCCCCACAGGTGGGCTCTTCAGGGCTTCCTGGGGGGGTGATGGTTCCGTGGCAGGGCTTAGGCAGGGCCTGGTCTCAGCTGGCTCCAGCCCGGCCATGAGGTCTTCCAAAGCATTGTCCTGGTCATTGTTGTGTAATAGTAACACTTCCTTAATGTCTTTTAGTTCAAAGCCCATTTCCTTAAATTTGCTCATTAACTGAAGAAACTCCATCATCTAAGGAACAGAAGAAAATACAGATTAAAGACAGGTGTCCAGCTGTACAGCACAGCTAAGGGTGCAGAGGGGTACTGGGGTGAAGGGGTCTGAATCCTTCAACCAGAGCCTCATGAGCCTCCATGAGGTCATCCAGCAAGCAGCAGAGGGGGGCTGTGGAGGAAACCAGGACAAACAGGTTTGATGTCATAGCCCATCATCCTTCAGGAGCCATTACCAGTCCTAATTTATCTCTGGGTCCTATTGCCCACATCATTCACACATCAAATCTTCCCCAATTTGAGAATACTCCTTAGTGGGAGTCTCCCACTAAGGCAGAATACTCTCTAGGGACAGGGTAGCAAAGACACTAGCAATGTCCTAAGTCATCCAATAGTTTGGCTTTTAGCCCAAGTCAATTCTGACTTTACTTCACTGGATTCTAGATAGTCTTCAATCCAATGCTTGATCCAATCCAACTCAGGCCTCAGCCCATCTAGACACAAGAGATTCAGCACTTCTGCCTGCACTCACTGGCAAGGAAAGGGGGTTGTGGACCAGGTTAGAAAACCAGGAAAGACTATTTTGTCCCTCCTTTCTAGATTGTTCCCATGAAAGTGTTAAAGTTCCCACCTTTTCTTCTGAACACTGGTGCATTTCCAGAGCCTCTTCCACTAAAAGAGGATCGAAGCCCTTCTCACAAAGCTGTCCATGTGCAAAGAGATAGTCGAGAATCTAAGGAACAAAACAAGATGTTTGAGCACCTACTGTGACTCAGGTGCTTCCTGTATTAAACTACCACAGTGTCTATTCCCTGCCACACCCAAGTGATCAGATCCTGGACAGGACTTGAACTGTGTCCAACACTGCATGACCTCAGTAGCTACTTGTTAAACAGACAGACACACCCTTCTAAGCATGAGTAGCTACTTTCCAAAGAAGGTGCTGCCACTGCTGATGCACATCTTCCAGAATGTCAGCTATACAGCCCAGGCAAGATAGTTGTCTAAGAAACAGTGCAAGTCAGAAAATGTTCCCCAAGGCAGAGGACTCCAGTACCCTATTCAGAACTCCCCGGGCAGCCATGACAAGCTAAAAAGTCTGGAAGGAGATAAGACATCTTTTAGTTCTGCCCTTTCTGGAAGGGCAGACAAGGGGGTAGGTGAATGACTGCTTAGCAGCTCCACTACTCCCAAGGTTTTTCTATCAGCCCCCCTTCCAGACCAGCACCCAAAGGAGTACTGCTGAGACTGCTGACTTTCCTAATAAAGCACCCTGAGTCCACACAAACCCACGAGAGAGGAGGCTGGTGCTACAAGTCTGAGGGTCTCTAGGACACAGTCTGGCTCCAGAGTCAGAATGCTCAGCTGACTCACCACCCCCTGCAGACCATCTGCTCACCTGCTCAATATTTTCTCCTTTCTTCTTCATGGCTCTCAGGACACACTCATATGAGTAGCCCATGTTGACCACTGTCTCCACACACAGCCGCTCACTGGGGGACAGTGTCTGTAGTTCAGAATAGGCCTGGGGACAGCTGGGCATGTTGGGCACTTGTGACACTGAGAAACTCGGAGGGGTGACCTGATAATAGAGAAACAAAAAGTTCAAGGCAAAAAGACCTGGGCCACAGGAAACATGGCAATGAGGTGACCTGATCCAGAAGCTTCCCATTTCTAACACTAATCAAGCTCCCAAGCAGTCTTCTTGGAAGAAAAGGCCAGACATCACCAAGAGGCAATGAAGAGGGGCTGGGGGTACCAGCCAGGGGAAAGAAAAGCCATGCAGCTCAGAGTTCTAAAGGTATTATTTACTTGAAACAATCCCACTCTGGAGCTGACTCTATCCCAAAGTCTTGCCTGTTTCTATCACTGGTCTGGGCAGAGGCTGAGTGCTGTAACCTGCATGGCCAGCCCAGGGCCTCAGGGTTTTGAGGGACTCACCTTTACCCTACACCACATTTCCTGCCAGAGCCACTGTCCTACAGAGTCTGGACAGAGGAGTACTAGCCACATCAGGCTGGACTGGATTATAGACTCCAGGCCCTGTCATAATGTACTGCACTGACTACAAGCAGCCTGATCTACCACTGGAGCTTACTAACTCATCTGACTAGTATACAGATTCCTATGTTTAGTTCCTACCACCCCTGATAATGAATCAAGTCTAAGGCACAAAGGCAGCTCAGTGCCAGACCAAAGGACCCATCTACCATGGGAACAAAGTCACAAATTCTTCTACAGCTTGGTTCAGCTCCCAAGAATCAAAGAAAATGTTTCATAATTTTCTTTAATGGAGAGGTGGGGGTTAAGGCAGAAGAGAGCACACTCAGAAATATATTGCTAGCCAGGCACTGGTGGCTCATGCCTATGGCTACCTCAACCTTATTCAAAAATTAACTCAGAGCCTGGGGTGGCAAATACCTATAATCCAAGTGTGGTGGCGAATACCTGAACCCCAGCAGTTGGAAGGTGGGCAGGATTATAAATTCTTGGTCAGCCTGGGCTACATAGAGAGACCCTGTCTCAAAAAAAGGATGGATCATGGGCTTAACTGTAGGATGTATAATTACAAAGGCTTTAAAAAAAAAGTGAAAATCTTCAGGATTTAGAGTTAACCAAAGAGTTCTTAGACTTGCCACCAAAAAGCAAGACCCATAAAAAGAAAACAGATTACCTGGGCCTCATGTAAGTTAGAAAGAGAAAGAAGAAGTGAACCAGAGACCAAAAAGAGCTTAGGACACCAGGCACAGTACAGAGCAGAATGAGGATTAACTAAAAGCCTATACCAGCCTCTCCCAAACTTCTTTAGCTCCCAAGTAGAATTCTCTGAAGAAACCAGAATTCCCAAGACCTTCACATCTTGACATCTTGAGGAATTCCCTTCAGTGATCAGCAGCACACTCCAACACACTTAGCTTTTGATTTTTTTAAAAAGTGCTTCCTCATTCTTAAACATGAACAGAAAGCCAAAGTTATTAACATGACCATAAGAAGGAATAGTCAAAGCAGTTAGAAATTTAAAAAGTGATAAAGATTTAAAAACAAAAAACGTATTTAGGCACCAGTAGCTCATGCCTGTACTCCTAGCTACTTGTGAGGATGAGATCAGGAGGTTCGCAGTCTGAGGCCAGTCCGAGCAAATAATTCTCAAGATCCCATTTCCAAAATATCCAGAGCAAATTGGATTTGAGGTGTGGCTCAAGAGGTAGAATGCCTGCTTTGCAAGCACAAAGTCCTGCGTTCAAACCCTAGGCCCACCAAAAGAAAAAAAAAATTGTAGTATAGTCAAGAATAGGGCTAGGGATATAGCTCAATGGTAGAGTATGCTCCTAACATGTGCAAGGCCACGGGTTTGAACCCCAGTACCACAAAAAGGAAAAAAGAGAACTCCCAGAGAGTAAAACACAACAGATAGAAAATAGAAAAGGATAGAAAACTGAAGCCTCAGTCAAGGAGATCCAAACATCTAATTTAGGAATTCATTTTAAAAAATAATTCCCAAGATTTAGAAACTAGGCTGACCCTCAGTTTGGAAAGATTTAAGAAGGCCTCCACAATGAATGAATAAAGCATATCACTGTTAAATTTCAAACTATATAGAGATGAAGAAAAAATCCCCAAAGCTACCAAAGGTGGAGGTGAAGGAACAAAACAAACCTCGCAATAGCACTGAAATACTAGAAATCAGTAGAGTTTACACTTCAATTTAAAAGTTAGCCAGGCACCAGTGGCTCATGCCTGTTATCCTAGCACTTGGGAGGCAGAGATCAGGAGGATCACGGTTCAAAGCCAGCCTGGACAAATAGTTTGCAAGACCCTATCTCAAAAAACCCACCACAATAAAAGGGCTGGCAGAGTAGCTCAAAGTATAGCCCCTGAATTCAAGCCCCTGTACTGCAAAAAAAAAAAAAAAATTAAAGAATGGCTGGGGAAGTATCTCAGTGGTAAAGCACTTTTCTAGCATGCACTGGAGGAAAAAAAAATACAAAAAAACTAAGTGAATTCAAAACCAGATAGTTTATAAGACACAAAAAGCTCCAAAAAAAAGAATACAGGAAAAATACCCAGGTGCACACCCATGATTCTAGCACTCTGAAGGCTGATACAGGAGGATCACAAATTGGAGACCAGCCTGGGCTACAAATGGACACTGTCTCAAAAAAGAAAAAAAAAGTAATTGCAGTATACTTTCTGAACTCTGAATATTTACCCAAACATAGTAATGTGAACAATAACATTAATTTACCCAAATTCTGTATAAATGTGAAGAATAAGGGAAGGAAGAGAGAGGCTATGACAAGAGCTGGACACTCAACTATTAAACAGGAAGAATAAAACTGTCTAAATTTGGGCATCTTTAGAAAAAGACAACATATTTCTCTGTTTTTTATTTAGAAACACAGAAATAAACCAGGTGCAGAAGCACATGCCTATAGTCCCAGTACTCAGGAAGCTGAAACAAGAGGGTCACAAGTTAGAAGCCAGACTGGCCTACATAAGTGAACCCCTGTCTCAAAAATGAGATAGGACAGGGGAGGGAAGGGACGGAGGGAGGGGAGAGAAAAGAAGAGGAGGAGGAGGGAGGGAAGGAGAAAGGAAGGAAAGGAGGGAAGAAGGAAGGGAAGACGGAAGGATGGATTCCATGTCTCAAAAACACACAAAAGAAAGAAAGAAAGAAAAAGAGTAAGAAGAAAAACAGAGATAAATCCCAGAAGAAATAGCGTAACAAAAAGCCAAGCACAGTGGTGTGCCCCTGTAGTCCCGGTTACTTGGGAGATGGAGGCAGAAAAATCACTTAAGTCCAGGAGTTTGAGGCCAGCCTGGGTAACATTGTAAGACTATTCTTACCTTTTCTCTCAACCCTCTCACCCCTATGTCAAAAAAAAAAAAAAAGAGCTGGGCACTGGTGGTTCATGCCTATCATCTTAGCTTCTTGGGAGGCTAAGATCAGGAGGATAGTTTGAGTCCCGCTAGGGCAAACAGTTTGTGAGACCACATCTCCAAAATAGCCAGCATACAATGGACTGGAGGTGTGGCTCAAGTGGCTTTGTAAGTGCAAAACCCTAGTCAGCCAAAAAAAAAAAAAGAGCTTAATGAGCTGAAAGTACCTGACTATGGAAAAGTACAACTAGAGAACAAGGAGCAGTGAAGCAGGAAGCCAATACTTTCCAATAAAAGCATGTTTGATTGGTTGGTTTGTTTTTGTTTTTGTTTTGGGGGGGGGTATTTGGAAACAGGGTTTCCCTATGTTGCCAAGGCTGGCCTCAAGCAGTCCTCCTGCCTCCCAAATGGTGATGGTGGGACTACAACTGTACACCACCATGCCTGGGAGTAGAAGCCTTTTAAAAGCTACTTGATTTCATAAAATATGCTCGTATTACACTGATAAAAATAAGTCCATTTTAAAAATACAGAAAAGACTTTGTTTCAAAGTAACACTAACATAAAATGGTGAATGAATTTGAATACTTAAAAGCTAAGGGATTTTGCATGTCAAAAAGAATTTAAAATACAAATTTAGAGGTAATTTGGTGCTATTTTTTGTTTATTATTCATGACTAGTAAATTCACAATTCAGGAGTGTAAGAGAAAAGGCAGAATCACTGTCAAAATGTAAGGAATGTATCCCTACCCGGAGAAACAGCCCAACAGCAATACCAGCCTAACACAAGAGCAGAGCAAGGCCCTGAAAGGCTGGAGGCAGTAGGAAGAGTCTGGCAAGTCTGGCAATTGTATGCTGGACAAAAAATAAGGGCACATTTCAAGATTGTTCTTCTCAAAGTGATCCTATGACACAGCCTATAATCCTATTTTCATGATAGGGCAGCAAGACCCTATCTTGAAAATAAAATACAGGGTTGGAGGTGTGACTCAAGTGGTAGAGCACTTGCCCTAGCATGTGCAAGCAAGGCCCTGGTTCAGTCCCCAATACTGAGGGGGGAAAAGTGCTCTGGATTGAGAAAGAGCTCTGCTGTTAGTTAATTGGCTTTGGACTCTAAATGGTTAATCTATCTTTAAATGGAGGTGGGAAGTATTGCCTGAAGATCCCCTATCTTTCCAGGGTGCTTCCCATTTATCTAAAGCATGCAGAGTAGAATAGTGCTTACCAGAGCCCAGTAAGGGACCAGAAGGAATTAGGATGAAGCCCACTCCAAGGAGACAACAATGATACTCTGTACTCTATCAAGTTTATCTGGGCCAAGGTCCAGGAAGTTTATAAGAAGCAGGGACCTCTCTGACAATGGAAGCATTCACTCAATCATTTACCAAGAATGCTACTGTGGGACTTTGCACTTGTCCCACAGTTTGGGGGCTTGTTACGGTCTCTGATAAACATCGTACCAATATAATTAGGCTCCTTTCTGACTCAAGTAGTCTCTTGGTTAGGTTCTATCATTTAAAAAATATGTAAGCTGGTGCAGCAAAAGATTCTTGGATTTCTATAATTTATATTCTAGAATTCTGAAGCAACCATATCAAGAGCTAACCCTATAAATCCTACAAATAAAGGAAACTGTATGTATCTGCAATTATTTTTGTATGACAAATCATATTTTCTTCAGGATGATACAAGCTGCAATTTTTGTATCAACCCATCCTTCTACATTAAATCTGAGTTCCCAAGTACAGCCTTCCATTGCGGCACTGGTGGTATAGTGGTGAACATAGCTGCCTTCCAAGTACAGCCTTCCTTCTACCCTTCCTTTGCAGAAGACTGTACAGTTTTTAATGGTGAGAGAAGAGAATTATATGATTAAAATGTGCAGATTTTTTTAAATGATACATTTCTACCTTATCATTCAACTTTGGGGGGAGGAGGAGGAGAAGAAAAGAATAAGAATAAGAGGAGGAAGAGGAAGAGGAAGAGTAACAAAAATAAGTCATTAAAAAATGAAACACAGCCAGGAATGGTGGCTCAAGCTTGTGATACCAGCACAAGGGAGGCAGAGGCAGGAGGCCAGCCAGCCTGGGTACAAGTGAGAGCCTGTCTCCAAAAGAAAAGAGAAGAAATCCGTAAGATAAAGTGATCAGACAGGAAACACCATTCACAAGATTCATTTTATGCCTTATCTTTACAGAGGAAAAGTCCCAAAAGATGCAAAGAGAACCAAACAAGCAAATGTAAGCCATTTGGTCTAGGGGTGTAGCTCAGTGGTAGGCCACTTATCTAGCATGTGCAAGGGACTGGGCTCAATCCCCAGCACAACAAAAACAAAATTTAGGCTCAGATCAAAACTAATAATCCTGTTCTTTAGGAAAATAACCAGAATTACATATATTACATAACCAAGTCAATGTGCTGTGTCCCATCTTGCCCAAACCCTTGAGGGAGGTGTATGTCAGGTAGAATTTAGAAATTTTTGGAACTGTAACTTAGGGGGGTAATTTAAAAGACTTACTGTGGGACCTGTATTTGGAGGTGATGATTCTTCTGTGCATACAGACAGGACAGACAGGGAAGGCATCTGGGAGGATGGCAGGGTTGGCACCTCTGTGCCACTGTCCAAGTTCAAAGCTGAAAGCCCAAGAGTATGGTCCCCATTGAGCTCACTGGCACTGCTTTGGGTGGAAGGCTGGAGGGAATTCCGGGCTGTGCCACTGCGGAGGCAGGATGTGCTATGGAAAGTGCTCGCCAGCTTAACTGTCTTCTGATTACTATCATCAGAGTCAAGTTTGGGGAAGGACAGAGATTTGATATTGCTTACTGCAGGGATAGGGGGGAGGGACACTTTGGAAGACAGCGACATTTTTTCACAGTTGCCCAACTGTGGTAAGGTTATAAAGCCATTGGGTTTATGAAGAGGCTTGAAATCTAAGGTTGCACGCTCCAAGGACGCTAAGACCTCCTCATCCTGTAACACAGACCCAGAACCTCCTCTGGGCAAGTTATTATCCAGTAACTGGGCCATAATGGGTCCAGTGGCTCCTACCAGGATGTTTCGCAGCTCTTCTTTCTCATCAATAGTTTTTAACTCCAGATTATCAAATGGGTCCTCTTCACACTCAAAGTCAGCAGGATTGAAATCTGCCTTTGTGTGGGGTGGGCTGAGAACTTTCTGTTTCGTGGCACTACTGCTGACCCGAGTCGGAGTGAGGATGCTGTTGTGCTGTAAGCTGGCTAGGATGGGATTAATAGGAGGTGGCATTGTGGCTGTACTGTGAGTCTTGGAGAAGCTCATTTTGCTGTCACCCTCTGGGCCACTCTTAGAATTCGCTTTAGCTTCTGCTTCCTCAGCCTTACGCTCTGCTTCTTGCTGGGCTTCTCGGATTTTCTTAATATCTTCAGCCCATTCAATGGTTTTCTTTTCCAAGGAGAAGTCATACTGCAAAGATAGAGCAGAGAAAGGTGTGAACTCAGGAGGCTGCCCTTGCCTCACCCAATTCCCTCCCTCCTTATTACACAAGAGAAGTAGGCCAAGCAGCATTTAAGGCATGTGGGATGATCCTCACTCAGGAATGTCCTTATACAATTGAACAAAACTATGCTCCCAGATTATTTCTAGAAATTAACTAGAAAGAGCTCCTACCAACTCTAAACCTACATACCAGTCCAAATGGACCTTGCCACTTCCTTTGCTTCTTCCTTGGGCTATTTCCCTCACCAGAATTCTTCCTGGCTCACCTACTCAATGAAGCTTTGATGGTGGCCCACACTTTCTTCTAACATTTTATAGTATTTGTCTTCATGAGTCATCTGATGGTGTACACATGTAACCACATGTAGCTTTAATCTGAAATCTCTAGCAGTGCTATTGTCCCAAAAAATCACAAGCCTCTCTGGGCCTCTACAGACCCTTCTTGGGTCTCTATTATCTAGCACAATGTCCTAAATAGATCCCATGCTCAGTACTGACAGCCCTTAACATTTAAGAAACACAAGGTGCCATGCATGACTGTAAGCTTTGTTTTTGCAGTGCTGGGATCCAATCTAGGGCCTTGCACATGGGAAGTAAGCTCTCCTACTGAGCTACCACCCCAGCCCAGAAGTACCTTTTATGAATTAACTCTCCAGATATTTTCAATCCTTTATAGTAATTATTGTTACCCCTCTTACAGGGACTATGCAGAAAATCATAAAGTTGGTAAGTAGTAGAGCCTGGATTTGAACCTAGGCTATCTGACTACAGATTCTATGCTCTCGAGCCATATGTATTAGATCATAATGAACAGGTTGTACTCAAAATGCAGGCCAGGCACAGGTAGCTCATGCCTGTAATCCTAGCTATGGGAAGCTAAGAGAGGGAGGATCACAGTTCAAGGCCAGCCTGGGCAAAGAGTTCAAGTGACTCCATCTCCAAAATAACCAGAGCAAAAAAAAAAGGACTGGAAGTGTGGCTCAAGAGGTAGAGCACCTGCTTTGCAAGTGCAAAGCCCTGACTTCAAAAGCCCACAAAAAACTAGAAGCCAATTTATGGTGATGAACTCAGGAGGCTGAGGCAGGAAGATCACAAATTCAAAGCCAGCCTGTGCTACGTAGCTAGAACAAGTTGGAATGGAAGAGGAAGAAGAAAGAGATAAAGAAAAGAAATCTAGACATGGAACTGGGGGTGTAGCTCAGTGGCAGAGCATGTACAGGCCTTGGGTTCGAGCCCCAACACCATGGAAAAAAAATAATCAGACTAAGATTTTTTTACACAGCAAATTGAACAAGAATTCATTTCATGGTTCCCTTACAATAACTTAAAGTATAGCTCAACTTACACAAATTCCATCTGCACATTAAAAAAATACATCTTTTATATAAAGCAAAATTCACATAGGACAGGAGAAAACAAAATCTTTGGCATTCCATCTAAAGCACCAGTGATAAAATGTCTACATGCATATTCAAGGTTAGAGACACATTAAAGCCAGTGAAGGGGGAAAACAGAGAAAGTGGACTAACATGCTGAGGAAAGTATTTTAGAGTGGAAGACACCTAATAAGGAGTTGCAGTCATCCCCAAGTCTTTCAGCTTCAAACAACACAATGGAAGTTTAAAAATAAAGGTGTCAAGAACTTAAATCTCTGACCCAGTTGTTGTTCCTCAAAAAGACACATGGGATCACTGTGCTTCCTCTTAACCACTAACAGAGAGTAAAGAAAAAAAAAAAATCAGGACTGGGCAAACTCTGAAGCTTCTTAACTGGAGGAAACCCAATTTTGCAGTCTCCTCCAATAAAAACTGAGGCTATCATCAACATAGGTGTTACACAAAGAATAACTGGAAATCTTTCCTTTTCCAGTAACCTTCACTGAGCTTTTGTTTTTTAGTTATCAATGTACTATAGAGGGGTGACGAAGTCACTCAAGTAACAGAGCGCCTGCCTAGCAAGTGTGAGGCCCTAAATTCAAGTCCCAGTACCGCCAAAACCAAACAAAAAATAATATAGAATACATGGAATGTAGAGAAGAAATACCCGGGAGAAATAAATATTAAAGATTTTTTTTAAGTAGGAATGTGGTTTGAGAGTAAAATAATGAATAATATTAGTAACTAGCACTTTTAGAGAACCAGGAGCCTTAATAAGCATTATAAATGAATTTCAGAGGTCTCCTTTTATCCATAGTTTCCCCTTCCATAATTTTGGTTGCCTGTAATCAACCATAGTCCAAAATTATTAAATGGAAGTAAACTAATCATGAGCTTCGAGTACCATTTTGGGTAGTGTAAGGAAATTTGGTTACCTCCTCTGCTCAGTCCTGCCAGGGACATGAATCATCCCTTTGTCCAGAATATCCATGCTGTATATGATTATTATAGTCACTTAGTATTATCTTAGAAATCAGCTCTACTTTTGTGGTATTGCAACTCTCGTATATACAGAGCTTGGCAGTACAGGAGATTTTAGGCAATCACTGAGGAGACTTGGAACATATTCCCCCACAGACAAGGAGGGATGCTATTGTTTAGATGTGGTTCATCCCACAGGGGTTCAAGTGCTGGAGGCTTAATTCCCAGTGTGTCAGTGTCTAGGTGGCATAACCATTAAGAAGTAGGACCTGGCGGATGCATCTCAAGCCACAGAGCACCTATCTGGTGAGCATAGGTTCAAACCCCAGTACAGTCAAAAATAAAAGATGCAGGGCCTAATGAGAAGTAATTAGGCTTTAAGAGAGATTAATGCCTTTCTTGTGGGAGGATGTTCTCAACTTATCAGGATTTCCTGAGAGGGCCTTGTTTTAAGAGATTCTGAGCCAGGTGTGGTGATGCACACCTATAATCCCAGCACTCAGGAGGCTGAATCAAGGAGATCACAAATTCTAAGCCAGCCTGGGCTACACAGCAAGACAAAAAACAACAACAAAAAAGTCTGACCTACTCAGAATCACTCATTTCCTGTTTCATCATGTGATCTCTCCTTCTTTATCCATGTGCCCCTTCTGCATTCAACAAGTTTTCTGAATACATCAATGAAGCAGAGAGGGAATAAATAATATGAGAAACAAGGTAGAGGTGTTTAGGTTTTCTTTGTTTTGTTTTGAGGTTGGAATGTTTATGTTGCCCAGGCTTCAAACTCCTGAAGTCAAGCAATTCTTCTACCTTGGCCTCCTAACAACTGAGACTATAGACATGCACCACTGCATCTGGCAAAAATCATCACCTTGTTTTTTGCTTGGTGAGGGTGCATGGGGATGTGTGAAAACACAAACATGTATGTACACACAGTACTGGAGATTAAACTCAATGAGCGCAAAGCATAGGTTCTACCACTGAGCTGTATGTCCAGCTCTGGAAGAATTTTAAATTATATTGCTAATAGTACTTTATACACAGAGTAGTATTTAATGACTTACTCATTACTATCAATAAAAAATTACCAAGCAAATAGACCACTTCTGGTCCAATAAAGTTTCCATATACCAAAGGAATATCAACTCAGTATTCAAAACTACATATGATGCTTGACATCAATAGCCATTACGGATATGCAAATCAAAGCCACAATGAGTGACAACTTCACACCCACAAAGATATAAATAATGAAAAAGATGGTTAACAAGAGTTAGCAAGGAAGATGCTAGGACCAGAGTTATCACAGTCCCCCTGCCGAGGGGCCCTACGAAAGGCACAGCCTTAAAATAAGTCTTACTTCTAGGTGTTCTAAAGCCCGACTCCTGGTTGGTTTTAACACCTCAAGTGTTGTAAATATTAGCGTATCTGCTTTAAGATAAAATAAAAATGGTATGTAAAAAAAAATTTTAAATAGAGTTGGCAAGGATGTGGAAAAATTGGAAAACTCCTATACTGCTGATGGAAATGCAAAATGGTGCAGCTAGCCACTTTGCAAAATAGTCTGGCAGTTCCTCAAATTGTTAAACATAGTTACACCATAGGACCCAGCAATGCCACTCCTGCAAATAACCCAAAGGAACTAAAAACACACTCCACAAAAAAATCTATATATAAAATTTGTAACAGCATTATTCATAATAGTCAAAAGTAGTAGTTTTAACTACCAAAATGTCCATCAGATGATGAGGACAAAATGTGCTATGTCCATACAATGGAATATTATTGATCCCATAGAAATAAACAAGGTACTCATCATTGAAATAGGTAAACCTTAAATATAATAGGAACTTAGAGGCTGGTTGTCTAAAAGCACTGATTTTTTTTTTTTTTTTTTTTTTTTGGCAGTACTGGGGTTTGAACTCAGGGCTTCCCAACTGCAAGGCAGGCTCTTTACCACTTGAGCCATACCTCTTCACTTGGGCCTGCAGTTGTCCAATGGGTACCTAAAACCAGGATAGAAGACTGAATTTGTCCTTTTATGAGTTATTCTTTCTTGCACTTACCTTTAATTCCACAAACAAGAGGGCTGATGAATAAATATCTTGCAACAAGAAGGGAAAATACCTCCCTCTCCCCTTAGCAGCAACTTTCTTATTACTGACAAGGCCCAATCCTGAGATAACCATCAAGCAAACCAAGATCTCCAGGATGCAAATTCCTAGCTCCAAGATTGTTGATAGTCCCTCCAAGAGGCAGACTTTCAGTCAATAAACTATTGTCTTTCTTCTCAGTGTGGCTACACTGAAAATAAATTGCTTTCCTGTCTTCATCACCACTAGCCTGTTCAATTGGTCTTTAAGACTGGGTGCCTCAACCTGGTCCACTGGGACTCCCAGAGTCAGGCCTCTGACATAGGAGTCTGGTTACAGAAACATTATGCTAAGTGAAATAAGTCAGTCAAAACGGCTGCATACATATTTTTGGATTCCATCTATTCGGTATGTCCACAAGAGAAATAAAGTAGACTAGAGGCTGCCAGGGTCTGGGAGAGTGAGGAGTTAATTGCTAAGGGGTATTGGGTTTCTTTTCAGGAAAATGAAAATGTTCTGGAATTATATAGCAGTGATTTTACAAAACTCTGAATATAACCACTAAACTGTATACTTGAATTTCATAGTATATGAGTATTTCAAAGAAACTGTTTTTAAAAAGTAACTGAAGTTCTGCTACTGTAATTACTGACCATATATAGACTGTAGAAGATAAAACAAAAATTTTTTTTCGGTGGGACTGAGATTTGAACTCAGGGCTTTCTGCTTACAAAGCAAGCACCCTAACACTTGAGCTAAACCTCCAGTCAATTTGCTCTGGTTATTTTTGGAGATGGGGGTCTCTCAAACTATTTGCCTAGGCTGGACTCAAGCTACCATCTTCCTGATCTAAGCCTCCAAAATAGCTAGGATTACAGGCGTAAGCCACAGCACCAGGCAACATAATACTTCCTAAATTAACACAGTGATGTCTTTGTGACTCTCCAGAAACAAAACTTTTCCAGAAATTGTATTTTTTTAGAAATCTTTTGAAATTAGGCTGGTGGAGTAGCGCAAGCGGTGGAGCACCTGCCTGGCAAGCGTGAGGTCATGAGTTCAAACCCCAGTACTGACAAAAAAAACCTTCTGAAGTCACAGGAAGAAGAGCTTGAGTATTATACTACAGTTTTCTGGTTTGCTACATAGCTCCTCTAAACTATAAGCACTTTGACAACAGTTGTTAAAGCATTTATCTCTCCTCAGTAATCAGCAGAGTACCTCTCAAAAGCAGGCATTCAATAAAATGTGTACTGAAGAAACGAAGTGATACCTGGCTATTTGCTTATATGCTTCTTTCTTTCTCTTCTTTTGTGTTACTGATGTTTGAATTCAGGGCCTCATGCTCTCTAGGCAGACACTCTACCACTTGAGCCATGCCCCTAGCCATTTTGCTTTGGTTATATTCAGGTAGGGAGAATACAGAATACAATCCTACCTAAGGTCTCCTGCATGGCTGGGATCACAGATACATGCCACCACAGACGGTCTAATGATTGACATGGGGGTCTCGCTAACATTTTGCACTGTCTAGCCTCAAACAGTGAGCCTCCAGATCTCTACCTCTGGAGAAGCTGGGATTATAGCTGTAAGCCACCATGCTCAGCTATTTCCTGCTTTTAAGAAGTAATTCAGGCCAGGCACCAGTAACTCACTCCTATAATCCTAGCTACTCAGGAGGCAAGGGATCAGGAGGATTGTGATTCAAAGCCAGCCCAGACAAATAGCTTGCAGAACCTTATCTCAAAAAACCCCACCACAAAAAAAGGACTGGTGGAGTGGCTCAAGGGATAGGCTATAAGTTCAAACCCTAGTACCACACACACAAAAAAGTAATTTAGTACATTTATATATAACTGAGCTTTAAAGATGAAAGAGTTAAGAAGCCCTTGAAGAGACAGGATTTAACACAGTCTAGAAGAATAAATAACATTTTAACACAGACAGCTTTTAGCACAGTGAGAAAGAGAGGAATACTCAAGTAGAGATGGCAGTTCATAGGGAAAACCAGGGTACAGGCAGGTAATGTATAAGGTATACTCAACAAACTGCTGATAACCTGATTTGGAGAAAACAAAAGAGATGAGCTAAGGTGCTTTGCCATAAACTTATGTCTCTATACTTCATTCAATAACTGTACATTCTCGAATATTTCTCAACAGTGATGTGACAATTTAAAACTTTAACAATATTATTCTAGAAACAATATGGAAAAGGCCAATTAAAGAGGCTACTGCAGGGGCTGAAGGCGTGGCTCAAGTGGTAGAGTAAGTGTGAAGCCCTGAGTTCAAACCCCAGTCAGTCCGCCCCCCAACAACAACAAAAAAAAAAAAAAAAAAAAGAGAGAGAGAAGGTGAAACATAAATTAAGGCTGAAGTGGAGTGTGAGACACGGCAAAATAAAAATATTATCTAACTTTAGTGGACTAAGAAGATAAGGAGACATTAACAAAGAGAAAAGAGGTAAGTTAACTGGACAGTGGAGATTTGTTTTGTACAAGGCATAGAATATCAGAAAAACATACAATATAACAGATTAAACACAATTTGTGTATGTGTATACAAAACATAAATGGGGTGTGGGTGTGGGAATATGTAATATTATAAGACAGTAACAGGAACTATGAGAAATAGAGATGTAAGAATAATTTTTCTATTTCACTACACATCAAATTCTTGTTCTTTAGATTTTTAAATGCACTAAACTTTTACTAAAAATCACCACTTACCTGCACTTCTCTGACAACCTGCAAACAATCAGGCAAGGAGAAGCCAATAGGTAGACCAACTTTAGCTGGTGTTTTGAATTTGTCTCCTATCTTAAATGGGACATCATCAAGGTAACTGAAAGTCCCTATAATCAAAAATAAAGTAAAAAATATCAGCAAAGAACTTTATTGTTTGTTTTGCTATAATCTTATGTCTAGTAAGATACACATTAATTTAGCTATGCTAAGACTTGAAGTGATTAAAAGTTCCTTCTCCAACTGCTTACCTTTCTGACCCTAGATCTCTAAAAAAAGAAATCCTACTTTGATCTACTTAATCTTATTAGAGTTTGTTTTTAATTATATTTAGAGTAAAAACCAAAGTACTCATAGCAGCCTACAGGGCCTCCCTATGACCCACAACCTCTCTGCTCTTATCTCCTATGAGTCATTTCTGGCTCACTGCACTTAAGTCATGGTGACCTCTGTTCACAATGATGACAGGCTAAACAGGCCTCAAAAAATTCTATACTGAATGTTCCTTCTATCTGGAATACTCTTTCCACAGACATGCACATTAACTCATCCCTTCATTTCATTACCCTGACCACTTAACTTAAAATTACTACTTTCTAACTTTCCTCACAGTACTTACTACTTATAACATATTATATAATTGATTTATATTTATTATCTGTCTTGCCCAATGGAATGTAAGCTCCTTGCAGCCAAGTTAAGTCTACCTTATTCAATGTTGTCATCTCAAAATCTTGTTTTTGTTTCTGTTTTGAAACAGGGTCTTGCTATGTTGCCCAGGCTGGCCTTGAACTCTCAATCCCCCTGCTTCAGCCTCCCAAGTAGCTAGATTGTAGATGTACCACCTAGCACATATCAGATATTTAATAAATACTACTGAATTGATAGTAGATTCCTCACAAAAGAAGTTCCTTGACTTAAGAATTCTCTACAACCTTTTTTTTTTTTTTTTGCAGTACTGGGGATTGAACCCAGGGTCTCAGGCTTGCTAGGCAGGCACTCTGCCACTTTTAAGCTATGCACCCAGTACTCTATAATCATTTTTTCATACAAAAAAATTAAGACTGAAAAAAAAAACTACTACATTCTACCAAAACAATGTTTTGATCCCCCTGGTGCTGGGGATCAAACCCACAACCTGGCACATGCTAAGCCCTCATTCTACCACTTATCTACAATCCCAGCCCCCCAATGTGGACTTAGAGCACCTGCCTAGGAAGTCCAGTAAGCGTGAGGCCCTAGGTTCAAAACCCTCCCCCACCCAAAAAAAAAAAAAAGAAAGAAAATGGGATAACCAGACAAGATCATGGAAATCTGAATAGAATCATCAACAGACATAAGCCATACACAATGGAACTGCTTTCATCCCGAAGGTTCTTCACCTATCATAACTGAACAATACTGAAAGATCAGGACATGCTCACCAACTTATAGGGGCAGAGAAAAAGACAGTGCCTCTTGTACATTGCTCTCATTATCTATACACCCCTAATTGGGCCATTTCTTTTCTGGACTAATTTGGGGGAATTATTGGTAGAACCATAGAAATAAATGTTGCAGAGCCAGCACTGTAGCACACACCTACCCACCACTCTGAAGGACAAAGCAAGAAGGTAACAAGTTTGCGTCCAGTCTGGACAACTGTTTCAAAATATTAAAAAAAGGGATGGGGAAATGAGCTCAATGGTGAGGGCTTAGATAGCACGAGTGAGCTCTGGATTCAATTCCTACTCTGCAAAATAAATCTAAGTAATAAATTTTGCTTTTTCAATATTAACAACTAAGAAAACAGGCTTATTTGTGGGTCTCACACTACTATAATTTCTTGGGTGTTCATGACCACAGAGTAAGACAATTATGCTTTTTTCCACAGATACATCTTTCATTCTTAGAATTGTGCAGATCTCAAGACTTACTAAAGTTAAAATATATTTGCTATCTTTGTCATCGTTCCCATTTCCTGGGGCAGGTACTCTTCTGATATACCCAAAATTCTCCCATCCTGGAAGAAGAGGGTCTCTTTCCCACTTAACTTCTGGCCAGAATTAACACTTTTTTTGTTGGTGGAACAGGGTTTTGTTTTATGGGGGAGGGGAGCCAGGAGGTACTGCAGTTTGAACTCAGGACCTCATGCTTGCTAGGCAGACGCTCTACCACTTGGGTCACTCTGCCAGCCCCAGGTTGGGGTTTGAACTCAAGGTTTTGTGCTTGCAAAGCAGGCACTCTACAACTTGAGTCACCTCCAGTCCATTTTGTTGTGGTTATTTTGGAGATGGGGTCACACAAAGTATTTGTGCAGGCTTTCCTTGAGCCTCGATTCTCCCAATCTCAACCTCCCAAGTACCTAGGATCACAAGTGTGAAACACCAGCATCCGGCTCCAAATTAAAACATTTAAACTGTTTGTCACACAGGCAATTAAATCCACAATGTGGTCAATGTAATAATTTTTCTAAGGCATAATCATAATTATTCATACTCTAGGAAATTTTCCAAGTATAGTCATATGTTTATCTGTGGTATTTTCAACTGGCAATATCTATTTCAATCCTACCCTTATTTACTTAAATAATTATTTATAGTCCTTTAAGAATAAACACAAGCAGGGTGTGTTGGTGCATGCCTGTAATCCCAGGTACTCTGGAGGCAGAGGCAGGAAGACTGAAAGTTGGAGGCCAGCCTCTACAATATCCTGGCTCAAAATTTAAAGAACAAAAATATTTTTAAAATAAACAGTAACACTCCCTTCTCAACTTCAGAACACTCAATTCAAAACCAATACCTCAGTACTTACCACTATGTACTATTTAATAATTTGCTTCCTTATTCTTCCCAGAAACAATCTGAGGAAGAATATGAACATCCCTTAACAAAGGAGAAAAGTTTCATAACTGTTATCTCCCAAGCTCAGCATATCTGGCAGATAAGATTTGTTCAATGAATAAAGAAGGCATAGCTTTAAAACTTTTTTTGTATTCAAACTCTCACCCCTATCCCAAATTACATTTAATATTTTTAAAAATTATTTACCAAAAATGACAATGCTAGTTATAAAAGTGGTTTTGTTTTGTTTTGGTTTTTTGATGGAACTGTGGGGTTTGAACTCAGGGCATCTGAGCATGCCTCCAGTTCATTTTTGCTCTTGTTATTTTGGAGATGGGGATTCATGAACTATTTGCCAAAGCTGGCCTCAAACCTCACTCCTCTCATTCTCAGCTTCCCAAGTTGCTAGGATTGCAGGTGTGAGCCACAAGCACCTAACATAAAAGTGTTTTTGAACAGAGTACTCATACAAAACATACATACACATTTAAGACTCCCAACAAAATACAAAAATGTACCAGGGTCTCCACCACCACTCAAAAAAAGGACAACCAACTTGCCAACAAAACTACTGGTTATACTATTTAACCCCTCTGGCACTTATAAGATGATTTATATTAAAAAGATTAAAAACAGCCTGCTTCCAGTAGCTCACACCTATAATCCTAGCTACTTGGGAGGCAGAGATCAAGAGGATCGAGGTTTGAGGCCAGGCCAGGTAAATAGTTTGAGAAACCCTATCTCAAAAATACCTAACACAAGAAAGAGCTAGTGGAATGGCTCAGTTGTAGCGTGCCTAGCAAACATGAGGCACTGTCCAAAAGAAAAAAAAAAAAAAGATGAAAGCCAGGTGCAATGACTCAAGCTGTAATCCTAGCTATTCGCAAAAAGGACTGGTGGAGTGGCTCAAGTGGTAAGTGAGACTGCCTAATAAGGATGAGGCCCTGAGTTCAAACCCCAGTACTTAAAAAAAAAAAAAAAAAAGATGAAAAGCAAAGCTCCTTTAATCTTAAAATTCTTCGTTTTCTATGAAAACAGAAAATGTTACTCAAAGATTCTAACTTTGCTTAGTGGCCTGATAAACCTCAGTACCACCAAAAAGTGTGTGGGGGTGGGGAGATTAGATGACACACAGATTAGGGGAAAAAAATCCTATCCATAAAGACACTAATAAGTAAAATATGGTTTATAAATATAAGAAAATGTAGTCACATTAATACTAACTACATTTTCTTAAATGAATGTTCTACTGCAGACTGGTGGTGGGAGCTGGGTGGGTATCTATAGAATGGTACTTTTCGGGGCTAAATATGGTGGCAATGCCAGTAGTCTCAGCAAAAGAAGGATAAAGAGTTCAAGGCCAAGCCAAGGTTATAAGCCCAGAACCTGTCTCCAAAACAAACAAATAAACAAACATTAAAAAAAAAAAACTTTTAAAGAAGAGGGTGCTATGCTAAAGATATTTAAGCCAAATGAGAATGTCCTTCAGGAAAGGTGTCCAGTTTCCTCACCTACCTTTGAGTTAGGAAACTATAACAGTATAATACACACTGACAGATTTACATTCTATAAATGGAACTAGGTCCAGGCTTAAGGGCAGACAAGATAGATAGAACATCTCTGAACAAATGCTGCTTCCCTTCATTAGCACCAATTACAGGACCTGCTTTATAAAAGCAGTTTCCTCTCACTAACAAATTCCGTGACCTAACTTTCCAAGGTTTATATCTGTATCTCCATCAAAGTTAGCATATACCCCCCTAAAGTTTTGTTAACAGGGAAGGAACAACACTTGTGTGATTACTGCGAGAAAGAGGTAGGCATAAAGGGCAATAAGGTATTTAAAGACCTGGAAATAAAGAGAAACCTTTTGAATAATGGCGACAACCATACATACATACTATTAATGATGATGCTGTGAGGAGCACAGAAAATTTTTTCCCAAATGTAGCAACTACGACTTAGGAATTACCCATTTTTACTCAATATATCAAAATATCTACTTAAAGATATCCACTTCTCTTGGTTCTCAATGCATTTTATTTTTTTAAAAAAATTCAATAGTAACTTAATAACCCACATGGTTCAGAGAATTAAGTATGATACCAAATAATTTTCTGGCTTACCCCAAAGACCTTTTAGTTTCAGTCCTTACTATTGAAATACATCCTTAAATTCCTAAGCCTATTTTCTTAAGTTCAATTTAGAAAAAGAAAGCAAGTACACCCTAATAACTATGGCTGTGGAAGTAGTTTCCTGATGCCAGATTCTGCACATCACTTTGCATT